TCGAACCGCAGTAGCAGATCTGTTTGGGACGCTTCACCGAGGCCATTGGAGAGCCAGAGAAGCCTAGACCACGCGCCACAAGAAATGCCATGCCTCTTTAGGCGCCACGATGCCGTTGTACCGTGATTGCGACAGCCCGTTGGTGGGTTAATGACATCAGTCCGGGCTGCACACCTTGTAGCACCCTGTCCGGTTCGGTGGGCCAAGCGTTGGCGGATTTGGCACGCCGCACAACTGTGGCACTTGACCGATGTGTTGCGTTTCCCCCTCGCGCGAGAAACGTGCGTTGGGTCTGGGTCAACAGGGGTGAAGGTGAGAGACGGGTGATGTCAAACAGACGTTGGTTGTGCAGAGTCTGCGGGAACTGTCAAGGAACCTAGAAGAGTCAAAGATAATACAGGGATAACAGCATTTGTTTCGCATTCCCTCCAACCGGTTGCGGTTAGAAGACGTGACAACGCCGCAGCAAGCCACAGCTGCCACACCCTCTCACCACAAATCCAGCCATCCATGCCGACATTGCTCGGAGAGCCTGGATGGAAATGAGGATAGCGTGAATGCAGCATAGAGTTCACGGAGAATTTGACCTTCCCATTGTCGCTTGCCATCCCGCTCAATTGTCACAGCCCGTCGGTTCAGTTTCTCAAGCTGACAATCTCACCTCTCCCGTTTCCTGCAGGAACAATGGAACGGAAAATGTCGATTACTGTCGATCGTTTTGTTCTGCAAAACGAAATTAGAAACACTTCGCTCCACCCACGTGTTGAAGCGGTACACTTCTTTCAACGGGGCTTTTCAATGGAATCGAATGCTGATTTTCAGGAGAGCCAAAGCAGCCGCAGGACGGGAGTGCAAACAAAGCGTGGAGCACCCAGAAATGAGAGACTGTCTTTGAAGTACTTTGGAAGGAAGATGGAAGACCACGTCGAGTTGGCTGACGTCAATTCAGATGCAGGGGATTGGGTCTGTTGTGGTCACAGGGCAGTCCCAGTCTTATTAGACGCCAAGTTGAATCCCTCGCATCTCCATCTCCCTTGCCGGGCGATTCGTTGTTGTCAACAATGACGAACCAACAGTCTTGACCGGAAATGAGATGGCCGGGTAAAAGGCCCAGACGCATCTCTGTCAACTAGAGTACCTTAGATAAAGCTTTGCTCTCAATTGACTTTATCTAGGTGATTGACCGAGGACAGATAGGGAGAGGTTTGTACTTCCAACAGACACGCCAATGCTGAATGGGATTGCTGTGAATCCCCATCGCGTCAAATGCACTGAGGGATTTTGCTGTTGGCCAAGACATAGCTAGGCCTAAAAGGACATCCCAGCCATCTTTTTGGGGGCCGAAAAGGCGGACCGGGAACACGGCATACTCAACGGATCTGATGCCCAGATCTGTGCGCAATATTCGCTCTTCTTCTTCTCCCAGAGAACCTAGACGCGTTATCCTCCGCATTCCAACCCCGGCAGTAAACTAGTTCCCATCACTTCGGATTCTGGAGTCTGTAAGTCCCGCTCCTCGATGAACTCTTTTCTGCTCGATCCGACATCGACACATTCAGTCCGTGGCCCACTCAATGAACGAACACCCATGCCTTGGCAGCCGGGCCTTGGTCCTTGCAGATCGAGTCCCGGGCGCCCCGTGCACACTCGGAACTGTCATCATGACTTCTCTTCGTTTGGCTGCAGCAAGCCCAATCTGGCGAAGAGCGGCCGGATCGTCGGAAGTGCCGGTAGCGCGGTCAATCCGGCAAAGCATCACATCACGGCATCGGGTCCCGCACCCGAGCGTGGCCTGTGCAGGACTGTCACGATTTTGCACAGGTTCGAGATATGAGGAGTCGCATTTACTAAGGTGTGCTGTGCGATTCTTCGCTCTTCGGTAAACGGAACATCTACAGGTTTTTTTGTAGTCGACATTGCCTTCCTTACCCAGGGTATGTCTACTGTTCAGCCACATATAATTGCAGTATTTAGCAGGACACAGTGAAGTGGTGGTTCTGAAGTCTCCCTTGAGTGTCCACTCTTCGCGCCGTGTGCGAAGGAATTCCCGCATAGCTCTGGGTTTCCATCATATTTCTTTGGACCTTGATTTAGCAGTCTAGTCATTTTGAAACTCTGGGACAGATAGGATGTGGGCTGAGTTGCAGGAGCTGATCGTCTCGCAACTCGAGTTACCTCCAAAGAGCTTTTCGGCGGTGCCAATCACGAATATAGAGTACCCAAGTAGTGACGTTACGCGTAGTTGATGCCTCAAGGACTGGTCTATTTGCGATACTCTACAAGACCAGTATCTGCAGACAGTGCCTCATAGTCGCTTAGCAGTAAACACAAGCACCGGTCGGGCAGTATCCATGGCTGCAGCTGAAGCTGCAAAGTCCCTTGTAGCTTTCGTCCAAGCCAGTAGCAGGGCATCCATCACGGCCGTCTCCGCCAGGGCTGGTCGTTTGCTCGCCGTACGCAGAGCACTCGCACACCCCATCAGGACAGTATCCGTTGGAGCAAGAGAATTCGCAGAGACCGGTGTAGTTCTCGGAAAGACCTGTCTTGACCTTGCCAGAGACACAGAAGGATCCAGTGGAGGTGGGCGCGGGAAGGCTAGAGGTGGCGGTCGCCGTGGGAGGGGTCGTTCCTGAGGGCACGCACTTCTCCTTGATGTAGGCGGCCGCGTCGTTGGTGTAGAGCTGGAAGTAATTGGTGTGAGCATCCTCGCCCATCGTTCGGCCCTCTCCGTAGGCGCAGACAATGTCCTCGCCGTTGCACCAGGAGCGTAGGACGCCGGAGAAGTTATTCAGGTTGCTCAGGGAAGAGCTCGAGCGAGCCATCTGGCCACTGAAGCTGGAGCCGGCCTCGACGTTGTAGCTTTGGTTGGCGATGTGAGTCGGGTCGCCGAAGAGGAGGGCGGCGCAGACTGTAGAATGTCGTGTTAGATCTTAACCCGCAACTCGCGTAGTTGCCATGGAAAACATACTCTGGTTCCCGGGAGCGGCGGTGGCAGCCAACCCAGAATCGGCGAGGATATCTCCAACCACATTGGCACCTTCGCTGTAACCACTCAGAACAATTTTGGAGCTAGGGCATTTCTCGCTATATGCCTTAACTTGGGCGACTCCAGAAACACGACCCTCCTCAACCGCGGCAGGATACCCAGAGGGGTTGGACGCATCGAACAAGATATCTTCATAGTCGCAGCTGGAGGGGCCGTTGCAGGTGGCGTCAATAATGAGCTGCTGTCTGCCCGGGTAGCCCTCATTCCATCCGCGGGCGAGGAAGATGTGCAAATCGGTGCATGATCCGGTGCCAGTGGACTGGCGCTTTCCTGGGGCGGCGGAAGCCAGGAGGGCAAAGTTGAAGAAGGCGGCGGCTTTCGGGGACAACATCGTAAAGCTGTTTTGATTATTATTAGGACTATTAACTACAATTGCTGAGAAATTGTACAAAAAAACGAGTGACAAGGTCGGGACAAAGAAGCCGTGAAGAGACAAGAACTGTTCGCCAAGGGGTTCCGGGGAAAGCGGAGGTTTTAACTCAATCTTCCATTGCGGCTGAACTTGGTGGACTGGGGATTACCGCATGAGTTCATTGTCGCATCAAGTAAATGCATCTTTCCCCTTATTGCTGCTTCTCCGAGTCAGCCGATAGCAAGTTATTGTGGGCTTCTTCGGACTTCATCCTCGTAAATAGCAAGATAATCGCGAACTGTATCATTGCAGGGTTGTAAGTGGGACGTGCACACGCCTGTTGCTGGGCGATACGAGGACAACTGTAAGCACAGCAGTGGAGGTCGCAAGATGAGTCTTATGCAGCGTGTGTGGAAAAAAGGGGCACGGCATAATGAGAAACTGGTTGGGGATTAACCCGAGTTGCTGAGTCTTATGATGGCCGGAGGCGCAAACTCTGGGCTTTCTATCCGTACGGATATGTAGTACTAAGACTATGTAAGTACGGCAGAAGAATGACTTCAGCAAATAAACAGGCCTGTCGACTAAGGTATCTCAAATGAGACTTGGCCAACATACTTTTACCCGAGCGCTAGAATCATGCTTCGCATTGTAGAAAGCAATAACTGACAATAGCATTCAAGCTATCCGCATAGCTTGCACATGTGTGCGATGAAAGCCGAGCCTTACCCTTGAAACTGACCGATGCACAGCATCATGGTGTTTTTATTCCGACTTTTGAGTTCCGCGGCTCGCGTGGGGTAAGCGGCGAGCCCGCATTTAGGGAAAAGACTAGCAAGGATATGATGCGCCCGACTCCACAGATGCGAATCCAGCCCGCTTCGCTTCATAGAGGTTCAAACAATCTCGATAGATCAACGGTAGATGCGACTGAATCTATGATTGAGGCTTCAAGTCTGAGTTCTCATACGAGTTGCTGTCAATAGTGACAGTAACTTACAGCGGCCTTCATCCGCTTCTAGAACCCCTGATACCCAAGTAAGTTACCATGATATTGAACAAATCCAAGATAGGATATAGTTTGAGTCGCCCAGAAACAGATCGAGCAAAGGTTTAAAATACAGGTAATTTTTACGGGAAGTGAGAACATGCAATTCTCACATCGGATCAACTTCCTTTCCCACTATCCTACCATAAGGCTAACACCAACCGACAGCGTCTCTTGCCATTTTCGTTGCATGCCGCTACCCTGAACAGCTTCGATACACAGCATCTATCAAACGGCTTCGTCCCCTCGAGGCTGGCCCCTCCGCTGTTTATAGCGTGTTCTCGGTAGCTGTGATGGCAAGGCATCCCTGTCCGAAGCTCCGTGATACGCAGTCTGTTGATCAGCGTAGTAGGCACTGCTTCTCCTACTGGGCGGGCTCTTCTCTGCTGCGTTTTCCCGTATTGCTCCCCAGCCACCGGATCTCGTGAATACATCATTCCTGTATTCCGTGCCGTCTCCCGGGGAGTAGATAAACTGATCGCGCCTTTGCAGAGGAATGTGGTTGAACCGCCAGTCCCAAATAGCAGCATAGCATCCGCGATAGGCCCCAAACGCTACAGCAGTTCCGATGGTACTTCCTGCAACAATATCATACCAGTTATGAGCCTGATCTATGGTGAGAGAACACGCGATAAGCAGGGCGCCAAGAAGAGGCGCAAAAGTCAACGCAATCTTCCAAAGAGCCGGGCGGTAGTCTGCCCAGACCTTGAGTTTAGCGTTCAGATACAAAAATAGGTAGACGTATCCGGCGAACGCCGCTGTGGAATGGCCAGAGGGGAAGGATGTCATCGCATTCTTGAGTTTGTCGCGGTCTGGTTGCGTGCAAACGTCGACTGAGTACATGATTTGCTGGAAGCCAACAGCATTGAGCCCCGTCGCGTTATTGCTAGCTGCTCGCGTGACGTCGGGCATACAGACTGCTAGAAAATAGGGTCGGAATCCTCCAATGAGCTGTTTGATGATGACTTGAATTAGCGTGGCGAGCGAGATGGAGAATATCAGGCCGATGATGCCATTGTTCACGTCCCAGATGTTCCTCACGCGGAACTGGGCGAGGAGAATGGCGGCGATTGGTATGGCGGCGGACAGCAATGCAGATAGCCATGTATCAATGATCCAGCCGCGATCAGGATATGCCCACTGAGGGTATACGATATCTCCAGAGCCGTTGAAGGTGATGGGAAAGTTGCGCGTCGCGGCTAAAGGCGCATTGTAAATCTGCAACAACGCGTCAGTTTTCCCTGTCACCTAGTTCCGGTGGGTTTAAGACTTACTCCCAAAGCAGCGCCACCTATTGCCGACATGACAAATATGTCAAACCAAGTGATTTTGAGCCATGCTATGAAGAAGTCCCACGAAGCCTTTACCGAACGGAGGGTGTCGCTGGTGAACTCAGGCAAGGGATCATGGTCGCCATGAACACGTTGCATACGACTGTGCTGACGCATGCTGTAGAGTCTAGCAAACGACTGATATTCAGTTTGCCAAAGAGAGGGGTTTAGAACGATTCTTCGCGCTTGTCGTTCGAAGAAGCGGAGATGGTTGAGTTAAGCTAACGCAAAGTCGATGCAAGGCAGGTCCCAGTGCAGAACCGACATTATTGGGAGTGCAGCATAAGAGCTTTTCAGTGGAATTCGGCGGAAATGTAAATCAGAAGTATAAGAAAACGTTGCTAGCCATCCAATGTTTTGACTGCTTCCTGTTACAGCTGACCTCGGCGACGCGGCGCACGGTAGGCGCGCAGTCTCTTCTGATACTCCAACGGCCAAATTGGATCTCGCGTTTGTCTGTTTCGGCGTGTTCGATCCGATGGGCTCAGTCAGCCGCAGGACACTTGACTGGACAGTAAGATGCGACGGACGGCTGCCGCGAAACTTTACATTTGGCCAGCAGGTTCTTGACACTCTGACGGGTTGACGGTGAGCAGAGCCACCCGAGAGATTGCGGGCTTTTAACCTACCTTGTTTGGCGCTTGTAGATTCTTCAAGCTCAATTCCAAGTTCGCGAGTCAGCTCTCCTGCTTTTAGAACAATACCCCCATTACGCAAAGCCTCTTGATTCCGGGCACAATCCTGGACCTCGATCACTTAGTCAAGACGAACACAGTAGGAAGTCTTCTCGAAAGTGTGGAATGAAGGTTGAGCAAAACTACGAATCAGACGATGGTAATATTGTCAAAAGCCTTGACGGCTGGATTCAGAAGCCTTTGAATGATCAAGTCTCGGCAGGCGTGCTCCCTATCGCAGTACGTAATTACTTACTTCAGGGTGCAACACTCGATTAACGTCCAGAAACCAAGAAGCAGACTTACATTTTGAGCGACTACATTGCATTAATAACATTCAGAGGAAATAAACTTACAGAAGGTAGTACGAATAACAAAATACATCAAGGTAGGAAGCCTGATGCTGATACCATTCAGCATGTAAGCCTGACTACCTGGTGTTAAAATCAACAGGAGAGTGGTCCACAAAGACCATGGTCTCACGGTGATCAAATGGACTGAAAAAATTGCTTCCAGTGGATGGCATTGTCATGTTCACCAGATCATGTATTATTAAGAAGTCAATATTTAGCGACATTATTAAAGATACATAGAATCGGGCTTTTCTAACCTAACCTTGTTATCCTGAAATTCATTGTCCAGCTCACTTACGGTCGTTGGTGCAAATATCAAACTCTGTTTTCGGGCCTCACCTCGTACGTCGTTGTCACAACAATACCACCATGACCGTGCTGCCCGCTAGATTTGCTGTTCAGACTGCCGTCGCGATCTCCATTTTGAGGCCAGCTGGCTGAGTCGGACGATTTGACAATCTGCTCTTCGCTTGAGTTGTTGTCCAGCTCCGTCATGTTGTACTTGTTATACCGTCTCTTTGAAGGCAATCCAGATCGATCGGCGCTTTGCCCTCCACCTCCTATTGTGACTAACTGATGGCCGTATCTGTCACCTGAGCCGGGGTACTTCTGGTTGGCTCCGCTGCTGCCCTTAGTAGACCTCAACCAATGTGAGGAAGAGAACAGTGGTCTGATGCAGGCTGCGTTCACGGCGATGATTCCAACAAACTAAATGATAGAAACCATGTTAGTCCTGTAATTTGTACTAATGTTTCCTTCCATTCATAGACTTTGGGAAGCACTTACAGTCTCTCTAATTGCCCAGATGGTGCTAACATTGATACCTTCAATGTCCTTGAGCGACAGGATGCAGCGGAGCAACGCGGCGATCATGACGAATATGCCCGAGCAGAGTAGAAGTCCAATAGCAAGCTTTCGTTTGATACTGAGCTTGACGGCCCACAAGAGTGGTAGTGGTATCGATACAATGAGGAAGTCCGTTCTGTTGTAAAGGCTTCGTCAGTAATAGGTATCGAATCGCCGACCATTAGACTCACGAGATATTGAGTACCACAAGACTCAAGTAGTTCGCAACGGCCAAAGTACACTCGTCTGATTCATTATCAGTAATTTGATAGGTCTCCTTTGTCTTGGGGAGTAACAAACCTCCTGGATATGGGACTACCTGCCAGTTCCTTTGAACAGGTGTACAATGCCCCCAAATAACAGCTATGACACCAACATAGGCTAATCCTGTCGCTACGGCTGTCCATTTGACAATCTTCTGCTGTCTTGTAGCAAGCCTATATCGTGTTATCAGAGATGAGACCAATGTTGTTTTTTGAGGACGGGGGGAAACACGAACGTGATGCGACTGAAGAAGAACAAAATGCAAGCTTTGAGACACCAAATGAGAGTTACATAAAAGTTCCAGCCTGCCAGCAGGCACTTGGAACCAAACTCAAACTTGGCTATCTCCTCCGATGTCAACGTCGCACCTATATCATTCGTGATTCCGATGTTGGTTCCATTCTGGCCTGTCAAAGTCTTAAGTGTTAGTGTGGAAGATACGTCGATGACTACTCGAGGAGCATTGAGGGATGTCAACCTATAAGCTCCAACATGCAAAGCTCCAACTTGTATGTGAAAGTCAGCCACAGAACGTAGACTCCAGCCTGGAGTCCGGACTGTCAATAGCAGGGTCGGGTATGCGGCGTACTTACAGTCCAGAAGACCAAGCATAATATGGCAAAATAATCGTCGCCTTGCCAATTAAAACCCACGATTTTCCATCTAGCGAAGATGCGAAGGAGAATAATCAAGACACCGAGCCCATACTCTGTCCAGGCCTCAGTTTGAAAAGGGGTCGCCATATTCCTGTATACTTTAGTGACTGAAAGAAGGGCAAGCCTGGATGAGCAAGTAAAGAGTCTTTTGATCAAGGCGACTGAAATCACGAATAGGGCCTGGTCAATCTGACTCTGTCGGATCTACTCAAGACCAATGCTGGTTCAACGGGACTTCTCGGATTAAAAGCCGCGCCTCCTGGCTTGGTTTCGTATCTCCAGTTACGTACGGCATAACCCCTATGTCTGGGCGAGGCCTGAATCCTCTCATCCTAGCCTATGGTGGGCATATGTATTACCTGAGAGCACAAACTTTTCTCGCAACGTCGGATCGAGGATTTGGGTCCCTGCCTAGTCCTGATGAAAGTTCAAATGGCATCCTTAACACAACCTAACCAGCTTAACGCGATGATGGGGATCGGCAATTTGAAGGAGCTCGCGATTCTCGAACAAGCCCCGGTCAACGAATCCTAGCTGAATTGGTACGCTAAGTTGTAGAGCAGCATCACAGAGTACCTTGAGGATACCAGGATGCAAGGCCGTTTCTTGGCAACCGTTGAATTTGGATTCCAAGCCTTCCTGTGCCGAGGATGCGCGAGATAATTATGTGATCAATCTCTTAGAGACAGTGTCATGTCATTTGCTCAGAGGAGCAGTGTTGACATTCCAATTTCTGACCAACCCTGATGCCTATTCTTGACTTTCTATGAGGCTCAAGTCCCATTGGGTGTCAAGTCCGAAAGCTGTCTGGGGTTTGCCGCTGCGGAATAGCCCAAAAGAGAGCAGCATTCACTGAACATCTCCCCTTTTTCTCCTATCCGGTCTGGCTACTTGAGTGTTGGCACCCGTTTCGGCCCAATGACACTTGATCTTGTCCAAATGCCCATGCATAAGTCCCATGGCAGTGTGGTACTCGGAACTGCAAGGTCGAACCGGAATTACATGGAACATCAATTCCTCTGGATCAGCGGAAACAAATCATCTTACGAGGTGAACGCTGCCAAGCAAGCCCCCAAGAAAGAGGGGTAGGCTTGCAAGCCGATCAACCTTGCATGTGCGCCATGGATATCCCCCTCACACTAAGTGCCTCGTAGCCTCAATGTCTTAGAAACGCGCATTAACGTCGCAGAGAGTTGACAAAATGGGACGATACGACCATTTAATACTGGAACATAAGATAGCTTCCGAATGTCTGGTAGGCCACTTTCTTTGATAACGTCGTTGGGCCTACTCTCGGCGTAAACTCCCCATGCATCCCTATCAACCGGGCCGATGAACATTGGCATTTCGTGATTTGATCCACACGTTTCTCGGCCAAATGGAGCTTGCCGTCAGGAATGGAAACCTGAGCAGCGCCTCTCCCGTCCGGCCCCATCTCCCGACGTTCTCAGGTTTGTCCCACTGTGATTTGCCCACGGGGCCCCAGGATTTGGCGGGGGAACCTAAGCTCCAACTAGAGCCAACGCTTGTCATGCTCCCCAGAACTCAAAGCCTCAGCTAGTAGCTTTCCGTCCGGTCACCCAGTTCCGATTACAGCAGAACCGAATTTGGGGATGCAACATTTCTTTTCCAACAGTTCGAGCTCTCCAAAGCCAAACGTTCCTCCTGATGATAAAGAGTCGGCTCATTGACGCTGATCTCTGACCAAAGTTCACCGGCTGCGCCCTGCACCGCTGAAGACTCGGATGCAACTTTGATGCTGCTGTGCCGCACCCTTACTGTGTCGTTGGGGTGGAGACATTTGGAGGCGATGAACCGCTGCACCAACGCCGAGCAAGATCGTCAGGTTTGCAGGGTCCAAATTCTCTCCAACGGTCCAAATCAGGCCCGGGTATCAGGGCTCCCATGGAACCCAAGACCTTCAGGATGCTGTTTCCAATTTTCCAACCAGTCCAGCCTTAAGTTTACATCTGCTCTGCCAGGTCCTCATTGGTTGTACGTAAGAGAGTGATCTTCATTTGGTACTCGTCGGTGCCTTATGTAGCACACGGTAGTGCTGTGTAACTGGCACAAGTCCAGAATCCCAGTAGGACTTCCTCCTCAAAACGGTATCATTGCCACCAAAAAGGCTCTACACTAGCATGGGATCAAGTAAGAGCGTATGCGTATGCGTGTACTCATGGATATCCACAAAAAATCATTTACTCTCCTTTCTCTTATCAAATGTTGAGCTGCGGATACGACTCCGCCACCGACAGGCTCAATATGGGCCTTTGGAAACTCGAAGTGGTGTAAATGCATGGATTCTAATACCGGACCCTGCATACCGCTATAGAATGCCTCCTTTTTGGACGGTCGCGTTTCCTTCTTCGGCTTTAGAATGGCACTTGGCAGCGGCGCTGACTTCCATAAGCTGTACTACTGATGTTGGTGCGTTCCCCGCACGTAGACTTCAGACGTAGCTCGAGGTGTGTGAGGGGTGTGGTGGTCGAGGAAGAAACCCCGGAATTGTTGTCGGAATTGTCAGTCAGTGTCCGAATACAAGAGCACCAGTCCGAGCTCCATGGACCATCCTGTGACTTGCCTTTCATTTCTCTCATACCATCAGACGCTATATCCTACGAGCTCAGACGTACAGTGCAGCCATCATCAACATGGGATCTTTACCGCAGGAGATTATTTACGACTTCATCGTATGCGGGTAAGTTTATCATCATGACAGGAAGCATGTCTTTCTATAGCTAAGCTGGTGGCTGACATCAAGTCCTCAAGCGGCGGTACCTCCGGCTGCGTCGTTGCGAGCCGCCTTGCTGAGAGTCCTGGCGTGAATGTTCTAGTCATCGAGGCTGGTGAACACAATGAGAATCTTGAAAATGTTCACATGACAGGAGGGTAAGCAATTATTTCTACTAGGAGAGTTGATTGCGAGCTAATAGTCTGACTTTGACCATAGTTGGTCACAATTGTTCGATAAGGATACCGATTGGAACGTCATCAGCGAAAAAAAACCTTCAGTCAACAATCGACAGGTTAAACTAAGCCGTGGAAAGTTCCTTGGCGGCTGCTCTGGCTGCAACGGTACGTTATGCATTCGCGGTGCCAAGCAAGACTACGATGACTGGGGAGTCGAGGGCTGGACGGGTGACGAAGTTTTCAAATATATTCGAAAGGTCAGTGATAATTCCGTGCCCTACAAGCTTTCTGCTGTTGGCCGCACTATTCTCTCTTTCAGCTTCCAATTTCGTGTATCTTTGCAACTCGCTAATCTCTTGTGAATAATAGGCAGAGAACTTTCACGGAAAACCTTGGTTCGAAGCCTCCAAAGATCATGGCACCAATGGCCACCTCAACATCGAACCACATGACCTTGCTCCTATTTCAAACCTCATAATGGACTCCATGGTATCTAAAGGGCTGCCGCTAGACCACGATATGTTCTCCCACGGAGAAAATCCTCATGGATGTGGACACGCACCCAGAACAGTTCACAAGGGCTTGCGAACCACTGCGGCAGACTTTGTCACAAAGGAAAACAAGAAGGACAACCTTCACCTTCTTGTGGAAACTCATGTTGAAAAGGTTATCATTGAGAAGGTGGATGGTGTTCTCAGGGCAACAGGTGTCAGGGTGGTCAAGGCCGATGGTTCTGTCGTCGACATCAAGGCCCGCAAGGAAGTCATTGTCAGTGGTGGCGCCTACTGCAGCCCCAACATTCTCAACCGATCTGGTGTCGGGGCCAAGGCCGAGCTCGACAGTTTTGATATTCCGACACTGGTTGAATTGCCCGGTGTCGGCAAGAATCTCATGGACCATCTTGTAAGTGCCTCATACCCTGCATACCGAGGGATACCGCTAACCTAGCCTGTCTCAAGATTGTCTTCATGTTTTACGAAACCGAAAAAGCCGGTCTGACCAACGACCACCACGTCTACCACGGCGACAACTTTGCAAAGACATACGCCCTCTGGAAGGACCAACAAGCAGGCTTCTTGTCTACATTCCCCTTCGGAGCATTCGCCTACGCCCGTCTGGACGAGCGCCTCGCTGACTCAGAGCTTTGGAAGAACGCCCCAAGGCAACCCGGCCGCGACCCAATGGGCCTTACGCCGAAGCAGCCAAACATCGAGTTCTTCACCACTGAGTGCTACGGAGGTCCGAAGCAGTATGACCAGTTCCCGACTGACGGCAAGTACGCCTTCAGCATGATTGCGGAGCTCTTCGGGCCTCGGTCCCGCGGTACAGTTACGCTTCGTGACACCGGTGCCAAGTCTGTCCCAGTCGTGGACACGAATTACCTCTCTGATCCATTGGATGTAGAGGTTCTGGCTGAGGCGTGCCGCTTCGGTAACGAGATTATCATGGAAGGCGCAGGGACTAAGGATATTGTCAAGGGCTCTTGGCCCAGCGATTTGGTACATCACAAGCACACCACTCGCGAGGATTGGATACCCTATGTCCGGGACAACGCAACAACTTGTAAGTTTTCCTGATTCCACTCACCCACAACTTGCTAACCGTTGGTCTTTTCCTTAGGTTACCATGCTGCGGGAACCTGTGCCATGGGCAACGCATCTGATCGCAATGCGGTTGTCGATCCGACACTCACAGTGATGGGTGTCAAAGGCCTTCGAGTTGCTGACTGCAGCATTATGCCCGTTCTCAATGGCGGTCATACCCAGATGCCTGCATATGGAATCGGAGAAAAGGCGGCTGACCTTATCAAGGCGGCATGGAAGCTTTGAGCGATCACTACCAGCATTGGTTGAAGAATTAGCAGGCAACATGTAGACTTTATTGATGATTGTATCAACGGATGTCGTTCGTCGCCGATGGCCTACTCCCTCTTGAACACTGGCATCCATTCTAGAGGAGCATCAATCTCGATCCACTTTCCGCCCTCATACGTGTCAGTTTCCCCCTCGAGGAGTGGCTTCCACTTGCCTCCTGCCTCCAGCTGGGGAAGATAGACCTTCATGTTCCTCTTCTCCGCCTCCAGCACCGGGCACACCAAGTACTTACTGCCAAACATGTACTGCTGACCAATCTTCCAAGTCTCTTGATCCTTCGGAAACTCGTAGAAGAGCGTTCGCATGACAGGCGTACCCTTCTCGTGCGCTTCCTTCATCAGCGAACGCGTGTAATCACGCAACTCTTCTCGGAGGAACATGTACTTCTTGCAAATCTCATAGACCTCAGGCCCATAAGACCAAACCTCATTTGGCGCGCCGCTATGACATTCAGCGCCTCCTGTCGTGCCATGCTGGGGCTGCTCAGGCTCTCGGCATCCATGGAGGCGGAAAACGGGACAGAAAGCACCCCATTGGAACCACCGGACGAACAGCTCGCGGAATTTTTCGTCCCGCGGGTCTCCGCCGTGGAAGCCACCGATATCAGTCGTCCACCATGGAAGACCGGATAGGCCCATGTGTAAGCCAGCTGCGACCTGGTTGCGCAGACTTCCCCAGGATGAGGCAATGTCACCACTCCAGACTAAGGCACCATACTTCTGACTTCCAGCCCATGCACATCGGATGAGGTTCACAATGTTCTTTTGCCCCTCGGCCTCCATTCCCTCGTAGAAGGCCTTTGCGTACTCGACGGGGTAAATGTTGCCGATCGAGACGTTGGATCCCAGGTGGTACCGGTACGTGTCGAAATCGTACACCGTGTATTCGGGTTCGGCCTCATCCAGCCAGAAGACGCGAATGCCCTTGTCGTAGTAATTTTTCTTGGCCTTTTTCCATACGTAGTCTCTTGCTCCGGGATTGGTGGCATCAAAGTGCGTCGTATCGCCCTGGAAGTTCATGGCAATCCGGATGCCTCTATCAGACTGAATGAGGTACCCCTTTTCGACCATCTCATCCCAATTCTCGGACTTGTGGTCAACAGTGGGCCAGATGGAAACCATCAATTCGATCTTGAGCTCTTGCAACTCTTTGATCATAGCATCCGGGTCGGGCCAGTACGTAGGGTCGAATTTCCATTCTCCCTGCAGCGGCCAGTGGAAAAAGTCAATGACAATAAGGTCAATGGGCAACTCGCGTTTCCTGTACTCGCGCGCAACTTCCAAGAGTTCTTCCTGCGTTTGGTATCGCAGCTTACATTGCCAAAAGCCGAGACCGTACTCTGGCATCATCGGAACTTTGCCCGTGGTATCAGCGTAAGCTTCGACGATTTCGGCCGGGGAATCGCCAGCGACGATCCAGTAGTCGAGGGCCCGAGTTGACTTGGCCTCAAAGCTCATGATATTACGGCCCAGAATCGCTCTTCCGACCGACGGGTTATTCCACAAAAGGCCGTAACCCAGCGAGGACACGGCGAACGGGACGCTGGCCTGGGAATTCCTGTGAGCGAGCTCGAGATCGTGGCCCTTGAGATCCAGGAATGGTTGTTGGTACTGTCCCATGCCAAAGATCTTTTCCTCAGCATCGACACTTTCGAATCTCGCAGTGAGGTGGTAGTCGTTGCTGTTGACAATGGCCAGGAACTCGCGTGCCTCGACGTCGAGGGCGCTGCACTTGGGGTCCAAGACATCCCGTCGGTGGCGCGAGTATTCCTCGAGCAGCAGCTCGCCCTTTGAGTTCCACATCATGAGCTTGCCACCACTGGTTATGGAAGCCTTGATCTTGCCGTTGGTGATTGTGCCGGCCTTGTCGTCAATGATGATTTTGGCATCTGCTTTCTCGGGCTTGAGCAACGCCCAGTCTTCGGTAGGCATCTCACGAGCCTTGGTAGCCCGTACTCGAAACGCATCTAGGCCCCAAGGCTCGACCCAGACTTTCTCCGCGTCATAGGTGTAGACAAGCTTCCCATCCTGCTCTTTGAGGCCCATGATGTTCTTATTCTTCCTATAAGTCACGGCTTACAGGACGATGATATGGTGATCGGGGTGTTTAGAAAGTCTTGAATAGTAAGCACAGAGACAGGATAGTGAGGGGTAGGTTTCCATTCATCGGATGCAGCTTCTTCTTGTACATGTACAATGCAGAGCAGAACCACTCGTAACCCAGCAAAAGAAGATCCCCGACTGCGGAGTTGCCCCTGTTGCCATGAGACGATGGATGAAAAGCGCAGGTCGAAACGGTGCCACGACAAAAGGCAGATGACATGCCACGCCTCCAATTGACCACTCGGATGCCATGAAAGCCGCCATGTCCACTGCGGCCATCGGGATGCCCCGCATCTGCCGGATTGAGGGGAAGTTGGGGGTCACGTCTGGGGTCTTTGATGCTGCGAAAGATCCGCACCCACGGACTCAAGGTTGAAGATAGTTTTAGAATGGTTATTAGGCTATTCGGGGGAGCAACAAGTGCAAACTCTAATATGGCTGAAGATCAATGTTCCAACCTCCACCAGCTCTTGAGCTGGAGTAATCGACGACAACAGCTGTATGCATACATAGTACATGAGGCAGAATCGCCTTTCCATACTTCAACGGGTATCATTCCTTAATAGTTTCTTCGACAACTGATGCACAGCTCAGACACACACCAGGCCGCTCCATTACTTGTGCTTCGTAGCAAAAGATTCTCTTGTGTTGACTCTGTCAATATCGTACGGGTTTCCATCATAGGACTTCCGGCGTGTCGAGGCCAGACTCATCGTCCGTCGTGTGATATGCGTGCTCTGGCGGCGCATGGATGAGCGATCGTCTGAAGATGACGCATCCGAGTCGACCGTATCGCTCGCCACAGTTTCTTGTCCACCGCTAACTTCCGGCTCCTTGTCTGAAGACGACGTATCCTCTTCCCGCAACCGCGCCATGAAAGCCTCCGATTGTGCGGCAAACTTGCAGCGCGCGCGGATAGCCGGACCATACTTGTAAAACAAGAACGGGAACGGAACACAAGCGAGAGCCAGGAACGCGGGGATTGATGACGCCCAGTTCGTGCCGAGATCTTTATACATGTAGGTCGTGAACAGAGGGAACGCAGCGCCGAAGCAACTGCGGATAACGGAGTTGGCGGCGAGTACACTCGCCGCGAAGATGGTGTAAGCGTCGATAAGGTAGTTCATGACGCTCAAGAACAGTAAAACCATTCCGAATCCGAACGGTACGCCGGCGGCGATGCTGACCATCCAGTGGATGTCGGCATTGTTGGTCCAGGCAAACCAGAATAGACCGATGGGAATCGCCACGCCTCCGACCATGGCTGATAGGAGACGGGTTTCCGGGGGAGCAAATCCGCCGTTTCTCTCTTGTACTCGCTTGTACCGACCGTTCTCGGGTAGTGTGTAAATGATGGCGAAAACCATGCCGACCATGATGCCAAGGAAGGCAAGTCCTCCAATTCCCTGTGACCATCCTCGTTCTTGTTGATAGACAATAGGGAAGGCCGCAAACAGCATGTAGAGAGTTCCGTAAATGATGGCCATGTAAAGCGATAGGAGCAATACAATGGGCTCACGGAACAGCAGGATCCAGGGCCTCGATAGGGCCGTCTTGAACGACTCTGCCAGACTGATCTTGCCCTGCTCGTGTTCAATCTTGCTGACGTAGACCTTGCCAGTCATCTTGGAAAGCTTCGCAGCTCGCTGCCGAAGCAGATACGGCGCATAGGTCTCGGGGACGAGGGCGGCACCCAGAAGCCAAAGGGTCCCAGAGAACGCAGCCAAGAAACCCATGACCCATCGCCAGCCCGCCGCGGCCCCGAGGAATCCACCGATGATGGGTCCCAAAACAGGACCGAGGAACGGCGCGGCAGCAAACAACGCCATCGCCAAGCCTCTGTCGGCGGCCGGGAACATGTCGGCGATGACACCGCCCGAGTTGGCGAGTGGAGATGAGCCAAAGGCACCGGCGAAGAAGCGGAGGACGATGAGGGTCGTGGCCGAATTGGCGCCGGCGCAACCGGCGTTGAATGCCGTCAGGATGGCATAGGTGCCGAAAAAGAGCGACTGGCGTCCAAAGAGTTCACTGAGCGGTGCCCAGAGTAACGGTCCAATGGCGAATCCAAGCACGAAAAGGGAGACGCCCAAAGTCGCGACTTCTTGGGAGATGCCGAACTCAATGATGATTTGGCGTATACCGCCCGTGTAGGCAGACGATAGCAGAGCCACTGCTAATGTAGTCAACGACACCATGAATGTGATGAACCATTTTGTCGCTTTGCTAAACAGCATTGGGTTCCTAGGATCGTTGGGAATCCATTGCACCAAGAACGGATCTGCTTCTGTGCCGGACCCAGGATATCGATAGTCGGCTACTTCCTGTGTTATCCCTGCTTGATCGGTGACTATGCGCCAGTATGGTATTTTCGTGTGGACTGGAGGCTCGCCAACATCGTTGGCTGCCTTTTCTTGCGCCATCGCGAGGTCGAAATGGTGATAGACGCGTCTAAGAAACTTGTGGGTACACGCCAGATGGAAGAGTCGAGAGAAGAGGAGCAAGAAAAGGTGAGCCAAGTGAGAGCGGAGGACGGATATGCCAATAGAACAGGTGCCAAGAGCAAACGGCGAGGGGGACAAGGGGGGAAATAAGCCGGGGACGATTTGTATTTGTAGAGTGACCGGGGAGGAATAAAAACACACACAAACAACAGCAGCGGGAATGACGAAATATACAGGATCACAGGGTCCGAAATCAAACGGCTTACGGGCGGGAATGGGAACCGAATGGTGCTGAATCCCGTTTTACCGTGCCCACTACACGCGCCGCTCCGGGTGGCTTCGCCTGTCGGATCGATCTTTTGTCTGCATTGCATACGCATATACGGTGCACATCTGCTAGATCTAGTGCTCACGATCCCGTAGTTGCCGAGACGAACACCCGGGTCGCGATGTTTCTACTCTGGATAGCTCCAGCCCAGTGCACTGGATCAGTGAATAAAACCCCCGTACGTGCGTGGCACTGCAGGTATGGCGCTTTGAAATCGTGGTGACGACAGAGATGTTGTATTGGTGCGCCCTTCGTTGAGTCTTTGCCGGTGCTGGTGGGACAGCCCGGCTCCGAATAGGCTTAACTCCGTCGTCTAGCGTATAGAGGTGTGGTCCGGCAGCATAGCTTCCCGCCGTGTGTTCATAAAGTTATGCAAATTCGGCCCCCGAAAGACGCTTCAGGTTGTCTCTCCCTCTCTCGGAAATACATGTAACCACCCCTGAACTTCTCATACTCATTTCGTTGAGGTGGTGATAGGAGCCTGATGTTATATTGCCTCCTTCGTGTTTCGGAAGGACCCTGAAATAGATCAGATTGGGACCTTTGAGATTTACGAGAGATAGACGGTTACATGCATCCAGGTGGCAAGGTAGCTTGGCGGTTGGCAATCTTCATCCAAGTGTCGTCTATTGTTCTTAACTATAACACCACAGACCACCAAAATACAACATGAAATTACAAAGATGTGACTGTCTGGTATTGATGGGAGAAAGTTCATCTGAGTAATTCACTCGATCAGACTTGTCATTGGAAATTGATGGACATTCCTTTTTAGAGTTTTCCCCGCGGATGCTACGTACGCTGCGGCTGGCAGGGACAGCCCGGTTACCATATTTCTGGAACATCGAACATGAACTCCGTCTGTGTATTAATTCAGCTGTCGCAATCCTTCTTTTCCCGTCTATATCTAGTCGTTCACTCTCTCCGATCCGCATCGCATCGGAGCGATCTTGCGGAGGAGAGGAATTTGGAATGTGCTGTCGAGATGGCGCTCATCCTAAAGTGATTAGAGTACGGAGTACATAGGTAGGCTGTTTTGATGCACGAATAAGGCCAGACGGACAGGTGCGACTCAACGAGTCATGGACCGGCAAATTCATAAATGTGAATTAGACCCGCTTTTCCGGAACGGCCTGCCTCCGGCGTGTCTGCATAACTCACGGGCTGTTATTCGGAGTCGGGGCGGGTTTAGGATATCCTAACGCCAGAAGGCTCCCATAAGGTGCAGTAGTGAGTCAACGCTAGGCAAGGATGTCAGATCTTTCAAATTTCAAAGATTGCATTTTCCTAGGTATTGGATATTTTTCGATTTTCTAGTGCATGCGATACGTACTTACTTTTGTGAGAATGCAGCTTCGCTTCTAGAAACCATGCCCACCTTGCTGAGGAGTCCCATACCTAAGGTAAGTGTGTCTACTCCGTACGTACACATTACTTAAGCTCAGGTCACATTCAGCAAAGTTCAGTCAGTTTGTTGAATCCACTTTCTGCTTCATTTCAAACATTTAAGTTTCATTTTCAAGCCGATGGGAGCAGACTATCTCGAAGTATAACCTCCATCAACCATCAGCGCAGACCCAGTCACAAACGAACTCCTGCCACCAGCCAAGTACAAAACACCATCGGCAATCTCCTTTGGACTTCCCATCCGTTGCATCGGCACCGCGGTCGAGACTCTCTCCTCCATCGCCTTCAACACCTCGGGGTTCTTGGTCGTCATTGGTGTCTCTGTGTATCCAGGGCAGATGGCATTGATGCGCAAGCCCTGGTTGGCATAATCCTCGGATGCAGTGCGCGTCAAACCAATGACGGCGTGCTTCGTCGTCGTGTATGCCGTAGAAAGTGTGATACCCACAACACCCTGGATAGAGCCAAAGTTGACAATGGACCCTTTTTGCAAAGGTCTGCCGTCAATTGTTGACAAAATCGGCTCTTGCTTCAGCATAATCTGCGCCGCCGCCCTCAGCACGTAGAACGTTCCGTTGATGTTCACGTCAAGAACCCGCTGCCAGTCTTCCGTCTTGGCGAACGCGGCGCCGCCCTTGTGCTTGATGGCGATGCCGGCGGCGTTGACAACATAGTCCAGCCTGCCAAACTTGGCTGCTGCTTCATTGACGACCTTGATGACTTCTTCCTCGTTGGCGATATTGATGGGGTAGGTGAGCAACTCAATCTTGCGGTCTTTTCCGAACTCAGCTTCGATTTCCTCTTTGACTGTCTTGAGCGCGTCTGCGTTGAGATCTAGTAATGCGATACCCGCGGAGCCTTCTTGAGCGAAACCGCGAGCACATGCTCTACCGATGCCAGAGGCTGCGCCTGTAACTAGAGCAAAGCCGGGGACGTCCATGTTATGTAATCAAAAAGGTTTGGAGGAGTAGCAATTGATCAAAAGTCTAGTAATTGTGGTTGAGAAAGCTCAAGGTGATTGATGTCATGCAACTTGTCTATGATGATGTGCTCACAGTTCGTTGATGGCATCCTCAATAAGTAGTCCATCATCGCGATGTTGCGCATTCGGTGTTCTTGGGTATCGGGCGTGGCTTTCCATTGACGCTCAGGTATGACTTTCCCCATTTGATTCGGTTGTGTCTCGACTCCACCTACGGCGACCAACTCCCCCACCCGGTGCGCGGCGTCTGAGGGGTCATCCCGAGAAGCCGCGCTGGCCGATCATCTTGTGCGTCAGCTGCTCTTATCAAAAGACTAAATGTGACACTTCTTTATGGGCCAAGCCTTTGGCTGCTGGCGGGGTTGAAGAAAGATAGAGACGTGCTTTACCCCGCGGCGATAGTCAGATCAGCATTTGGCCGCATGCGCCCTATCAACAGGTCCTTGATGTTAGTGTAGGGACCCGATGTCGGACATCACGCATGTCGTGTTCCGCGCCGATGTTAGTCAATGAATGCTCACACCCAATATTTCGATTAATCAAATTCATGCTGCCTCTATGGCTAATGTTTGCTAAGTTCGTTTGATAAGGTATATACAACGTCTGTTAGGTCATAACCTTCGTCCTATCGGCACCGCGTTGTGACGATAGGCTTCTCCTAGTTTGCAGATGACCAAAGGATTTTGCATCCAACTGTGACATATTGTAGCAAACATTCTATTTCGATTAGGAATCTTTGTCTAGACCATATGTCTCTTGATGTTTCATCTTGGTCAGGCCCTTCTAAGAACGACTGGGCTGTGCTATGCTTAACCTCAGCTCAATCAACGAGCATATTGCATCGTTTTCAGACTAGCATGCAAGCTTAATCGAGACTTCTCCAAGACAATAGAATGCACACGAGAGTGAGATACAAAAGATAGACTTGAGTCTTGTAATTTGGACGATACATAACTTGCATTAGAGGACTTTGGTGGAAGTTAATGCGAACTTGATTTTGGAATTGACATTGATAATCTAAAATCTACAACTTGACACCCTTAGCCTGCCTGGCAAACGTAAGCCCCTGGTAACCAGACTCTTTGACCTCCCTGCACCGTCTCTGGAACTCCTGCGCAGATCCACCATATCTGACAACGCTTCTAACCTGCTTGCCCTTAATGTTCGTGTTGACACCCGTCATCCAACTGTCAACCTCGTTGACCAGTGACCCCTTGCTGCACTCAAACACATGCTCTGTCCAGCCGTCCGCAGCCTCCTGTGTTGCCTCGGCATACGTGTATCCCTTATCACGGCAAAACTTCAACAAATCCACAACAACCTGGACGGCATGCTCAATGTTTCTTGTCGCGTTTCCAAACGGCTGGTGAGGGCCGAGAACCATAAACATGTTGGGCATAGAGGGCACCGTCATGCCGAGGAATGTGTAGGGTCTGTTGTCGACCCAGACGGCCCGCTCGCCTTTGGGTGTTCCGCTCGGCGCAATCAGTGGCCGTCCATCTTTGCCTTGCCACTCGATTGCGCTGAAGGAGCCTGTAATGGCATCGAAACCAGTGGCGTAGATCAGGATGTCGAGCTCGTGCTCCTTGCCGTCGGATGTGATGATGCGGTCAGACTTGACCTCAGACACCGGGGCCTTCTTGAGATCAACAAGGTGCACGTTGTCTTGGTTGAAGGCCTCGAAGTAGCCGCTCTCCAACGGCACACGACGGGTGCCAAAACCGTGTGTCTTGGGGATCAGAGACTCGGCCACCTCCGGGTCGTGTACTCTTCCCCTAATCTTGTCTGCGATGAAGTTGGAATACAGCTCATTGGCTTGGCGATCCGTGTACGTGTCGCTAAAGAGACCCTGCCACTTGCCAAAGCCCGGCTCGTTGTACAGTTTCTCCCAAAGGGCGAGGCGCTCTTCTGCCGTAACCTCCATGGACTTGCGTGGGTCCGCCATGTGCATGAAACCTGAGGGTGTGGAGCGGCAGATGCCGAAGATGTTGTCATAGTCTTTCTTGAGCTCTTCCATCTTCTCTGGAGAAATCTCGTAGTTGCGCAAGGGGACGGTCCATGTTGCCGTTCTTTGGAAGACGCTGATGGACTTGATGCTTGGCTCTTTTGACAGTGCAGTGATGGTCTGGATGCCGGTGGCGCCAGTCCCGACCACGCCGATGCGCTTGCCGGCAAAATCGCGGGCAAGGTCCAAGTCTGTCGGCCACCGCGATGTGTGGAAAGACGTGCCCTTGAAATTCTCAATGCCGGGGATAGCTGGTAGTGATGGTGTCGAAAGGAAGCCGATACAGCTGAGGAAGAAAGTGGTGATGTATTGGTTGCCGTCTTGGTCGACAAATGTCCAATTATGGGCATCGTCGTCCCAGCGAGCTGATTTGACCGTGGTGTTAAATTGAATATGTTTGTAGAGGTCGTTCCTCTCGGCGAAGCGCTTAATATACTTGTGTGTCTCGGGCTGGGGGGAGAAGGCCTCCTTCCAGTGCCATTCCTCCAAGAGACCCTTGTCAAAAGAATAGCTGTAGGACACAGACTCGCAGTCGAACCGGCATCCGGGGTAGCGATTCCAGAACCACGTTCCACCAACGTCTGCACCGTTGTCGAGGACCTTTACCCTGCAATCGGGCATTTGCTCCCGGATGTGGTGCAGACTAGCAAGGCCGGATAGGCCTGAGCCAATGATGAGAACATCATAGGTCTCTTTCACAGGGGTCGGAATAGAGCCCATGATTTTCGGGGTGGTTTGAAGAAATAGGCTGAAAAGAGTCAAGTTTGATTTTGAGATTTGTCTGTAATAATCAAGTGTTGACAGGAATGCTTGATGAGATGCTCCCTATGCCACAACAAGACCCTATTCTTTGAAGTCTGTGAGATGTCTAAATAGCCAACGGCTCGTCTTTGACCAAAGGCTTTCCTCTTAGCAAATAGGATTCCGCTGAGAAAGTATCTGCACAACTTTCCCGTCCCATCTATCAAAGCATTATCCGCCCAACTTGTTCACGTCAAACATCAGCCGATCCTATGTGGGGCTTATCTGAGGTGGCGGCCCCGAATCGGGGATGACTTGCCAACTCTGGTTTTGGGTGGTGTTGACCAAAGTTCGCCTATCGGGCCCCTCCCCCGCATCGATCAAGTCACAGGCTAGCTCCAAGGGGAACCCTTCCCTTAGGAGACCCTTGTCAGATTATGCAGCATTCTCAAGCATCCAAGAGCGTCGAATCATCGAGATATCAAGCTGTCAGTCTACATAAGGTATCAAGGGCCATATGATGCAGTTGAGCGCTTTCCGAGCTGCCGCCGATAGGGCGTGTGAGTGCGGTACCGAGCAATCAATTTGTCACACTTCAACACTACGGAGTCGCAGCTGAAATCGGGGGGTTTATGATATTGTATGCACATCAAGAATACAGTGTAGACTGGCATCTTCTACCAAGACTGCAAACGGTTCCGGGAGGCACACAGTTCAGTCAATTTAGATGCACACAACTTCGAGCAAGCACAGAGTCCATCATTAGAGCTCATTCATTGCGTTACTAATCACAATAGTGCTTCAATTCGAATTGACGTATTTCCTACTGTGCCTAAGCTGTACCACATATAAATCCATACCTGAAATTGGTAATTATTGCCAAATCAGAGAAATCTTGCGCCACCACGCGTTGGAATTGCCTTGCTTCTCCTTCTCAGCCTCATCCATGGCCGTCCACATTTCCGCCTCTGCTTCTACCTCCCGCAAATTGGTAGACAAGTCAACGTCCTCAGGAGCGTACAGCCAGGGATCCTTTCTTCCAACCGTGAGCTTGTGTCCAAAGTATGTAACCAGGAAGAGCGGAATGCCAATATACGCAGTCAAGAAGCTGGATGCAGAGAATCGCCCGGGGTAGAACACCGTGAATCCATTGGCGAAGAGGAGGAAGCCGAATGCAATCATGGAGATCCACGCTCCGTAGGGCTGACACCAGGACTGGTAAGGGACCTTGACGCCCTGTGCTTGGCAGGCCTTGCGGAAACGAAGGAAGATGAAGGCACACAGCACCCAAGAGGTGTATCCAGCAGTGTTTGTCAGACTGACGAACCAGTTGAAGACCACACCAGCATCTGAGGAGACGCTCAGATACGCGAGAAGAGTGAAGCAACTCGATGCAAGGACGGCGTAAATGGGAAGACCGTAGCTGTTGCAGCGTGTAAAGATTTTGGGTGCATTGCCAGCAACCGCAAGAGAGTACAGAGATCTACTGGCCATGTAGAGGTATGAGTTTCCAGCACTCCAGGCGCTCGTGAGAATACCGGCGTTGACGACTGTGGGTAAACCATTGATCCCGGCGTTGCGGATTGCAATGACCCAGGGTGACGCGTTAGCATTACCAGCGCCAGACACAAGGCCTTCAGAGTTGGAGTTGCAGATGGCTCCAATTGCCAACGAGCCGAGGAGGTAGAAAATGATGAGTCTGTAGAAGAACCGTCGGCTGGCAATGGGCAGGTTCTTGCGCGGGTTTCGCATCTCGCCACCCATGACGATGATAAGCTCCGGGCTGAAGTAGAACGAGAAGCCAGAAAACACCCAACCATAGAGGAAGGCAGTAAAGCGACCGCCAGAGCCGGTGATGATGTACTCCTTAGTCGCACCTGGGTCAACCCAGTAGTAGAAACCCAGCCGTTCTCCGCTCGGCCCTCCACCAAGAATCAAGACGACTGAGAGGAGCAGCAGACCGATGAAGAGAATGATCTTCAGACTTGCAAACCAGAATTCAGTCTCTGCGTAAACAGCAACTGGTGATAGGTTGAGTCCGACGACGACGACAAGGAGGATCGTCAGCCAGACGGCATTGTGGACGTTGTTTGGCCAGTAGTTGATGATGACTGAACCAACTGTGATTTCGTAGGCGAGAATGATGCCAAAAGAATACACATAGAGCCAACCGAGAGCGAATCCAAGGGATCGAGAGGTGTAGCGGTTGCAGTAGTACGACATGGAACTACCCGAGATGGGGAGGAATGTGCCTACTTCCATCACAGCCGTGACTATGCCGTAGACGAGAAGAGAAGTAAGGGCATAGGCCAGGAAGAGAAACGCCGGTCCGCCAGCAGCTAGGACCTGGCCAGATCCTACGAAGAGACCAGTTCCAATGCTGCCACCAATGGCAATCATCTGGGCGTGTCGCGACTTGACATTTCGCTTCGTGCCACCCTGGGCGACGAGATGAGTCTCGCCGTAGGTATTGCTCTCGAGTCGGCCGAGGTCTGAGTCGTGCGTTTTGCCATCGTTGGCAGTGTCCGCGTAGGTTCCCTCCTTCGAAAAGGGGGTTGCCGTGTCGTTGTCTAGAGCCATTGTAGACTGAGTCGACGAAGGGGATTAGGTAAGGTTGATTCAATTATGCATTCGAGGCGACTGAAGGAGGTGTTTGGTTGTAGAAACAGACAAGGTAGTTGAGTGCAGAGTCTCTTCAACTTAAGTTGACTGTTGTATTGGATGAGGGCATTCTCTTGTCTTTTAAACTACACATTATGACCACGTACACCGAATCCTGCCCTGGACATTTAAGGTGAACCTTGTTTGGGCTGACCAGGGAGACCAACACCGATACCACTTAGTGCCGACTCAGCTCGTTGTACACTGGACGGAAGACATTGCAAGTCTTGGAAAAGCATGGATGGAGATAAGTTCCAGCCGTCCCTGTTCCTAGCCCATCCGGGGCATTAGGCGACTTGGCGAAGATACCAAGTGTGGTTTTCTCGAGCCAGATAGGAAAGCTTTCCCAGCTATCAGACGCCAAAACATGTACCCCAGGTTTACTATGGGGTCACCGGGTCGTTCGCTATTCCCCCCGCTCTTATCAAAGGCCCCCGCTCCAACGGATGCGCTAAAGCCGCGTTATGCATTCTGTTGCGCCCTATTCGTATCTCTCCGCGGACATCAATCCCGTCGTGTTGGTACAACCCTTGGCTAAATATGTTGCCCTCAGCCCCTTGATATAACTTTCCATATCCATTTGCGGAGCCCAGATTATCAGCAGTTGATATTGCAAACGTTCAACGTGCGCCAAACCCTCCTGACGTCCTCCCAAGAACCAAACAGGAAGTGGAATCCCGAGCCAACTCTGGCTCACCCGGAATGGCCGATGCCAACAAACCCCGGCTGTCTTTGCCCAAGGATGCGGACGCCCGGCGCAGTCGGTCCTTTGGCGGATGTGGAACTGTACGTCATCCCACCCATCACGCTGGTGAACCTGTGAAGTCTGGTTAGACCGTAGACTGGAATCAAGGCGCTGACTTGCTTCAGTGTCGAAATCGCCGGATGAAGTGTGACGAGGGTCGGCCGACATGCTCCATGTGTAGGGCCTCCAATCTCACATGCAGCGGCTATGAGAAGAACATCTTCTTCGACTTTGAGGAGATTCCGAGCGTTGGAATGGCGCGCTTTCGGAGACCCTTGTTGACGGAATCCGAACGCGAGTCAATGAGTGACGAACTCGTCTCAAGCATTCCTCCAGCGTTGACTCTTTGGCACATTGCTCAAATCGAGGATGAGTGCGAGAGGACACCACTGTCCCAGAGTGTCCAAATCAGTCGAGGCCCTTTCGGTGCATTCAGAGTACATCGACTCTCGATGGAATCTTCAAAGGCTGCGCCCGAATCAAGCCCAGAGTCAAATAATCCCACAGTCGGCAGCCCTCCCAAGGCTGCGAAAGAAATAGGGGAGGACAGTCCTGAGGAGGCAGACGAAGAGCTCATGAATCCACCAGACGGTTCTCCGGCTCAAGAAACGACGCCGTTACTTGGACCCGCTCTTGCCTGCTTGGATCATCGTCCATTGAGCCCCCTTACTGAATGGTGGAACACGAACGAATGGTGGAATATGGGTGATCTCCCAGACGCGAGCAATTGGTGGGACACGCCTGTGGAACTAGATCGCGTACGCGATATATCCGATAATGTCTCTTTCTCCGGCATGGAACAATATCCGAAGGTACCAATCCATGTCACATCTCAGGATGTTCAAGTTTGCATACCGAGCATGTTTGCAGACACTCAGTCTCAGCAGCTGTCAACGCCAGACAACTGCTCTATTGCCCCCACAATCGACTACGCCGTTCCTCACGATGCAGTCTTCCTTCTGAGACACTACTCTACAACAGTCCTCCGAGGCTTCACGCCCTTCCGCCACAGCAAAACGCCATGGCATATCCTATTCATACCATACGTCAAAAGTTGTCTGGCAGCACTGACACTCGGAGACGACATGGACCACGCCAGCCTAACGGCATTCTACGGCACGCTCGCCATCAGCGCCTCCAGCCTCGGTGGCATCTCCAACTCGCGCAAGTGGTCCGAACAGGCAAACAATTATAAGCAGCGCGCTCGCCACCACGTCCGGCTCATGCTGCAGACAGCCTACGATGTACCCAAAAAGGCAAAGTACAAATCGATACTGATTGCTTTCCTGACAATGGTACAAATCTCGAGCGTCTCCGGCAGCCGTGATCAAGTAGAGTGCTACCTTCTAGAGGCGGAAAAGTTCATACGCGTCAAGGGGCTCAACAGGAAAAAGTCGCGCAAGGTCCGGTTACTGCATCACTGTTACGCGTTCGAGCGGGTCTTGCACGAGACCACGTTTCCGGGGAGCACGCAATCCCCTCACCGTCTTCACGTTCGCAAGGTGATTGAGACCAGCAACGCGAGTGCCTATAGCATAGACAGCCTGTCGTTTCAGCTGGCGAGCTGGAGCAATCTCGACCAAGAAATGCTCAAGGTCAAGGGGCGGGAAGAGGGGGAGAACGATCTCCATCTCCAGGTCCCGGGTGTCTGGCTCGCAACACTGTATCCCGAAATCTTTGGTATCCCAGAGATCTACATGTTCCTCCTTTCGCTCGTTATTCGGTTGGCTCGGTCAAAAGAAGACCCAGAGTACTCGAGTCCCGCCGGTCTCAAAGATTTCATGTTCCGCGCCAAGGCAGTCGAGAGACGTATCCACCAGCTCAGAAGGCAGCCCGGGTACGTGATAGCAGACTTGCCCGCCTCGGACCCCGAGATGCAGCACTGCCAGCAATTTCTAGATAACCTCTCGCAAGCCATGTTGTTTGCCTTGACTATATTTTTCTATCGGAGGGTGTACGACGTCGAGGCGGACATATTGCAGGATAAGGTCGTCGGTGTTCGGGATTGCTTGCTGCGGTTCGAGGCAACCGAGTCTGAGATGGGGTACGGGTCGGCCAGGTTGGTGTGGCCTGCGGTGATTGCGGCTAGCGAGGCGGATGACCCAGAGGTGCGGGAATCGTTTGCACAGTTTTTCAGGGACTGGGCGCGTCGGAGCGGTCTTCGTATCTTCAGCGATTCTCTCGCGGATGTCGAGAGACGGTGGGCCGAGAAGGAATGTGTAGATAGCGGCGGCGCCACCGAAGCCATCTTGATATCGTAAAATGCATATTACTGGCTGTCCTGCATCTTCCGGTTTCAAATCTAGAGTGATATTATGTGTGAGTAGGTTGCAGTCTTGCAGATGATGGAGGGTATGTGGCTGGATTTGCTGTCGAGCAGATAATGTTCGACTTACCCCTTTTGGTGGGGTCTTTGCCACTTTTGCAAGGGGATAACTTTCCTATTCTGCGCGAGCATATCCCGTGTAAGTTCTCCCCAAGATACCCCGCGCTTCTTCAACAGAAACGATTTCCGCTCGGTTACTTGCCTACGGAGTTTGGCTGTCATTATGCCATGGACCGGTACCTCTACTTAATTAGAGGCACAAAGGGAGGCGTCAAGCATACTTGTTCATAGAAACCAGCTTCTCATCATCGTACCCTGGCACAAGTTTACTTCACGCAAACACTAAGTCCGACCACACTATGTCTTCATTCCAAGGCAAAGTTGTAAGTCGGGCAGACTACCCATTTCCTTGAATAGCATGCTCATGTAATCCTCGGGTAGATCGCTATCACCGGCGCCGGCTCCGGTATGGGCCTGTCCACGGCCCAGCTCTTAGCCTCTCGCGGCGCTAAGCTGTCATTGGCGGACATCAACGAGAACTCTCTCAAGGAGGCAATCTCATCTCTCGAAGATAGTACAAGCCACATGTACGAAGTCGTCGATGTAAGGAAAGGTGATGTCGTCAACACCTGGATTCAAAACACGGTGAAAAAGTTTGGCAAGCTAGACGGTGCTGTCAATATGGCTGGCGTCATTACCCATGCCACACCTGTTGCAGAGCTTACAGACAAGGACTGGGATTTTGTCTTCGAAGTCAATGTCAAAGGCGTCTTCAATTGCCTGAGGTCACAACTAGGAGCTATGTCTGACGGAGGCAGCATCGTAAGTTTTTTCTCTATTTCTCTATATCCGACTCGTATACCGGCTGCGAGGCCGTTCGAGCTACAGCCTCTGGCTACAGTATTTCAGAAGCTGATATGATGCTTTTCCATCGTAGGTATCTGCAGCGAGTGTGTTTGGTCAATTTGGCGCTCCTGGCAACGCCGCATACTGTGCTAGCAAGGCAGCGGTAATTGGGTTGTCAAGAACAGCAGCTAAGGAAAATCAAAACATTCGCGTGAATTGCGTATCGCCTGGTAAGTAGCTCCTTCCTTGCTGCTCCCCCCCCCCCCCCTCCTTACGAAATCATCTGCTTCAAGAAGAAAAAGAAAAGTGCAAACTGGCGATAGTACAGAACCAAGCTAATGATGTTCTAAAGGCTCTGTCAACACGCCATTGTCTCGCGGAGAAAATCCAGAAGATGTGAAGCGCGGTTTACAGGTGACCGCACAGAAGAGAAGAGCAGAGCCTATCGAGATTGCACGCGTGATCGCGTTTCTACTTAGTGATGAGGCTTCTTTTGTCACAGGAGCCGTATACAACGTTGATGGCGGTTGGGTATGCTAAGCATTGTGCTGTTAGATATTTATCAATGGGCCCTCTCTTCGGCTCGATCTCTGAATGAGACTTATGCTTTTCTTCGACGAATTTTGAATTTTCTGCGTAACACAATGCGCAACCATGCAATTGGATACTAGCACTTTGAAGTCACGGCTATACTCAAGTTCATGGACGGCCCAATGTCTTTACCTGAACAGTGTGTTCTTGCCGACTGGAAGGACATCCGCGTAGCTCTTTTTTCTGTAGATCTGAAGAAGCATCAACCTGGCCGAAAACTCTTTTATTATCGGACTACGTAAAGTCCGAGATCTCTTAGACGTGCTTCACAACGTTATTAGTGGAGGACTTTTTGGCATCTCGTTATCATGGACTGAGATTCGTCGAAGCTTGATGTCAGTAACAAATTATTGGCTTGTGACACCGTTATAAAGTTGGCCTTCCAATGATGTATGCTGCAGGAAGGGGCAGAGCATCTTGCTAGAACCTGCACCTTGACAGATAGGCAATTAGAAATTGTCGATGTCATTTCACAGTCCTGTCCTTGACGTTCGATGGTGAACTTCGTCTTTAGTCCGATGTGGTCGTCATGCAGTTCAAAGACTCGTCACATAATAGGGTAAATCGAAATCGTAGCTGAATAGTAATCCTGCGTTTGAGCAGTTCTAAAGGCCTCTTGAATAAGCTGTCGAAAGAAACAAAAGTGCCTGTCTTTGAAACACTCAATTAATACACCATCTGTCTGGTGGAGTCAAGATAACACCTGAAACTGGAACCATCGAACTCTTTCAAGAATGCGAAATAGTCTTACCTATAATGCCAGAGAGGAATGAACGAGTAAAGACGGACTTCTATCACGGCAGATTGAAGGGGGAAGACCAATCCACCTCGCATGAAGCCCCCTCTGTTGGACCTCGGTCAGACACAGGACCGTTGTCCAGACCATTCCAGTGCGAACAACGGCAATGGTCTAGCCTCCCAATTTCCCATCAGGGCGGATACTAAAGTTTCAGATCATGGTAAGACTATTAGAAAATACCACAAATCCCGTTGATGCGCCAACTCGGCCCGCATACGGATCGCCCGGCGCGGCTATCTCTGAACTCATCGATTAACACATCAGACAGTCTGACAAGTGATGGGCAGACTTCAGATCGGCTGGCTCCGCTGTCAAGCCCGAACCCTGTGCATCACGTTTTTGCCCGGTGAGTCGCAAGACAAGGAAAAAAAAAAAAGTTGAGACAGATTTCGCAAAGTTTACACAATAGGGGATAGCTCCAGTTCATCTGGTCATCCATGTCTACCCACTCGACTTGCATTGCAGAAACCTGGCGTACGCCTCCCCTCCTCCACCCCCAGACAACCCACCTGTTGTGCTTACATACCCAACAAGTACCGGCCGGTTTGCGCATGCAGGCTGCACGACTCCAACGGTCGCTCAGCTTGGCTGTTTCTCTTGGCCCTCGATGGGCAAACCAATAAGAACCTACCATTGACTTGAGTCGTCTACTTTGCAACTCTGACTATGCTGCACTCAATCTGACTCCCCATGTATGCGTCGCCCGAAGCGACCTAGTCCGGCCTCTCAGAGCCGAGGCATCCAACGTTGTCACCAAGTGAGGCGTTGCGGGGTGCTGCGGGGGGCACTTCGAGATTGCAGCTCTCTACCGGCTTGGGTCAGTGTGTCTTGTTACTCCAGAGCTTGGATCGTGCATAACCAAGAGAACCCTTTTGAGAAGAGTGGAGTAGATTCTGCGACAGATTGGTAAAGTGGTAACCTCCTATCCATTGAGTCTCCAGTAAGGCTCTCGGACTATACCAAGCGCGGAAACTCTTGGTAAAGGGGGACATGGCCGTTTCTTGTTGGACGAGACACATAGTCGAGTTGTGCTCACCAACAGACACATCCATAGGACCATAGGATGATGGGGGCTAATTCGAGGGGCATCGTAAGCGGGCATATCCCCCCCCTCCCCTCATTCCAACATCACCTCTATGGCCTCTCTACAAGTCATCCAAGTCTTGTCCCGAGGTTTCTTACAGCCTGCTGCAACCAAACAGACTCGCGGAGGTTCCTCCGAGCCATTCCCAATTCGATGTCCTGTCGCGAAATGGCAGCTCAGCCAGCTCTCACGTGGCATCGCTGTTCCTTGGAATTCTTGAACGTATCTAGCTTCACCGACTACTGAACTTCTCCACGTTGGGGGCATGGCTTCGAGAGTCAAGATGCGACTGGCGGATGAATCAAACGACCGTCACCGTCTCCACGATGTGATCATTCAACAAGCCCGGTTGGGGGAAAGGTCGCGCCGACTTCTGAATGTCCCTCACGAACAAGACCGGCTTAGGCGTGTGAGTTGCAAGACATGGGTTGGGCACATTCTCTGGGCATCGAAGATACTCAATCTGTAGATGAAAGAATAGCAACCTCGAAACAAGATAAATAGTCGAACAAGATCCCACCGGAAGACTCTTGATATCTTCGTTTCATCAGACTCAAGCTCTCGCTCAGAACCTGAATCCTCCTCTCCTTCGCTCAAAGCCTAGTAGCCAGCCCGCTCTCACTTGAAGACCGTTCCCAATTTCCGGACTCAAAACCACATCCAAAATGAAGTTCTTCAGCATTCTTTCCCTCGCCGTCACCCTCGCCGCCGCGGCACCAGTCGAAGTCGTCGACACCGGCGTCGCTGACCTCCAGGTCCGCCAGACGGGAGCCACCAGCAACGAGCTCGAGTCCGGCAGCAGCTCCGCCTGCCCCAAGGTCATCTTCATCTTTGCCCGCGCCTCCACCGAGCCCGGCAACATGGTAAGCCGACCAAACTCCTCACACGTGAGCTAGGAAAAGGCCTTTCCCAAAACCTAACCTCGATCGATGAATAGGGAATCAGCGCTGGACCCATCGTCGGCGATGCCCTCAAGAGCCGCTACGGCTCGAGCCAAGTCTGGGTTCAGGGCGTCGGCGGACCGTACAGCGCCGACCTGGCTTCCAACTTCCTCCCCGAGGGAACCAGCACCGTCGCCATCAACGAGGCCAAGAGGCTCTTCACCTTGGCCAACACCAAGTGCCCCAACTCCGCCGTCGTGGCCGGCGGATACAGGTTGGTTTGACCTCAGAGATGCCCCACCTTTCGCCATTGCCCTTTGCTGACAAGGTACAATGAGCAGCCAGGGAACCGCCGTCATGGCCTCGTCCATCTCAACTCTGAGCTCGACGATCCAGAACCAGATCAAGGGTGTCGTCTTGTTCGGCTACACCAAGAACCTCCAGAACCTCGGCCGCATCCCCAACTTCCCCTCGTCCAAGCTGTCCGTCTACTGCGATGTTGCGGATGCCGTCTGCTACGGTAAGCCTGCTTCTCAATCCTCAAAGACGTCAGAAAAGCCACTAACACGTCTAGGCACGCTCTTCATCCTGCCCGCGCACTTCCTCTACCAGACTGACGCGGCTGTTGCCGCCCCTATCTTCTTGGCTGGTCGCATCGGTTAAGCAGCTCGAGGACGCAATCAGTTCCGGATCGACCGTGATTCGGATGCAGCAGGCTTTGGTCGAGAAGGATTATGATGAGAAACTGCTGACGCATGGATTCCTGTGAAGCAAGGGACTCGCTTGCTGGAGACGGAGTCTGAAGCTGGGCAGCAGGATGGAATATGGAGGGCTCGGGTTGGATCGCTGGAGCATGATACTCACTCATTTGCCGTCGCTCATTTTGTTCTTATCATCTTTCTTGCCACTCACTTAGTTTAGCTATTTCATGCTTCACGCACATCCTGACGATGGACGAAATGCAAAGGATATTCTTATTGTTGCTAAATGGGTATCATTGGGTCATTACTTCAAAACAGATGGTATGCCAGAGGTGTTGCGCCAAGTTTCATGCTTTCTTCGTCCTGCTCCGAAGGAAGGCTGTGTGCCGTTGAGCGTGATATTTTACGTCTGCCGGGTGCAGCGGGTTGTACACAATCCGGCATATCTTACACTCCATAAAAGTAGGTTTCGACGAGAGGTTGATTGTCGTCTGAACAGTCGGAACAGGCTTTGATCGAGAGGGAGGTTTTTTCGGCTTGGCCTGGTTTTCGATCTTTCCGAGGTCGGGAAGCTCGTTCAGTTTGTTTTTGTCGGCATCTTGCAGCTCTGGAGCACCTCGTGCCCTCGTCCTGCGGGCGTGTTGTGGTTTTCGTCCGACAACAATACAACTTTCTTCGTTCTCGTCCTTTTCACCCTCCAAAGGGTCCGACGAATGTGATAGTGGCGTGCTGTGTCGTAGCCTCAGACGACGGGGTTCCTTGATCTTTCTGAAAACGGGAGGCGAGGAAGGCGGGGTGTTGACCAGCTTTTCCGAGTCGGACAAGGGGTCGGAGGCTTCAGTGGCCGAGCTTGATCGGCAGGGTTTGAAGTAGCTTAGGATTGAACTCTTGGGTATACTGCTTGATGGCGGCGCAGATTGAGCGGGAGGAAGCCGTGGGAGGTCTGGCGTCCGCGTTGCTGGTTCGATCTCGGGTTTGCGCTTCTTGAACAGGAGAGAGCCGACTTCGTCATCAGCTGCGCGCGTACGTTTGCTGTAGGTTTTGAGGGTTCGTCTACAAGACGTCAGTTTGGGTTCATATCGACACTCGCAGCAGGTCCCATACCTCTTGTTGGCTGTTGTCGTTGTTGTGGAATCGGGTCCAGACCGCTGGCTGTGTTGCTTGGTGATTAGCGACATTATCGGAGATGCAAAGTCCGTGGAAACGCGAACCTTGTGTCTGCGATTTGATCCATGCCTTCAGCCAAGGCAGTAAAAGTAGTTGTCTGACAGAGAGATGTGCCGAATGTCAGGCGCACGTAGATGGGTGTGGTGATACGCGACGCGCGCTCAGAGCTTCGCGCAGCAGAGAATTCGGCGTGATGATAGAAGATGGTTACAGTCGAAACGAGGTGAGAGAGATAGCGGAGACAGGCCAAAGGACTAGGAGACGATTAAAAATTACAGCATCCGAAAGATAGGTCATTAAGGCCGAGGCTGAAGAGAGATGCAGAGGTAGTGATCGGGCCCAGACCGGGGGGGGGGGGGCCATCCAGGCCCCACCCAGAGCGCGTCGCGCTAATTGACGTGCGGCGACGCGTCCAGTCGCGCACTCCAAAACTCTCCTCACGCCGTCACGTGTGTTGGGTTGCTTCTTAACTCATGACGGAGCCTCTCGACAGAGTACCACCCTATTTTGAGAAACATGGGCCTAGAATCCCGGGCACATGGTAATAACCTAGAAAAGCATTTATGGGGCATTCTCTGGCCTTACATGGGGCTGTCGCAATAAGACGCACCACAACGATTTGCCGGCACGTCTGAACGTCGCAAGTGATGCTGCCCAGAACCTTCGTATTTCCTTGATTCTACTCCTTATGAAAGCCCCTTTAGTCTTCGCCGTATGCCTTCGTCTGTATCTTGTGATTTCGTATCAAGAAGGGTAGTCGCTTCATCGGCTGGCTCTCCCTTGCTCTCCTTACCCAGCACCCACGACTGCATCACCTCTCTGATTTCTTCCGGTTCTTTCGTCTTGGACTTGGCCTCCCCTATCCTCCAAACATAGCCCGAGTACACGGCGACCTCTGCTATCAAGACCAGAATGGCGCCTCCAAGTGTCAAGAATATTCGAGCAGTGACATTCCACCACCGAGCCGCTATCCAGATGGTGGCCGCGACACCAATGATGCTTATGAGAAAGTTGAGAATGACCATCATCTGCTTCTGCACGTCCCCGAGCGTCACTTCGTCATCGCCATTGTCTGCTTCGTTCATAGGGCGGTTTACTTCGGCAAAGGCGTGTGCTCGGGCAACGGCGCTGGGAAACTGCTGGGAAAAGGCCTCCATCCGGGACGGTTGCTTCATCATTCGCTGGTATGTTCGTTCTTCTTCCTCGCGTCGCAGACGGGCCATCAGGGCTTTGTACTCGGCGGACTATGAAGGTATGGTCAGCGACTCGGAGCAGACTAAGCGTTGGCCGTCTTGACGTACTGGTTCAGGCTTTGGAGGTGGCGGGGGTATGTAAACCCTGGCGCCTCGCAACAATTCCTCCAAACTGAATCTCTCGATGCCTTCCGTCTTCAGACTTTTCCACAAATCTAATATCTGGCTGTGCGTAATGGGGTCTCCGATCACATAGTCGCCAAGAGTCGGCTCCTCGGCTTTGACTGTTGCTGCGGTCTTGCTGACACTACCTGCTCTGGTTTCCTGCTCTGTGTCCTCTGGTGTCGCCGCGATTCGCCGTCCGAATCTGACCTCAGCCAGCTTCTGTTGACCTTGGGCTACAGCGGGTGTTATCGTCAATCGTACCATGGCTGCTGATGTGATCGTGTGTCCTCTACGAGGTCATCTCGAAGCGATGTGCTCGTAACTTGGTGATACTTCAAGTCATGCAGTGCCAACAAACAATTTGGTCAGACACGGTGAAATCGGGGTAATAATTCGGGCGTCGGGTTGTGCCTGCCACACTCGATGCAACGACAACGACCGAGGCAGCCACAGCAGCTCACTACGTACCTAGCTCCTGCTCCGATGGAAGCTCAAGTTATGGGCCTTTGAGCCAATCAAAAGACTGGAGTCCCACCACTTTTCTCCAAAGATACGTATCCCCGGGGTCCGTTTTTCCCCCTGCCTTAGGTAAGGGGAGCACAGGAGCATCCGTACTCCGTACCACCAAAGGGAAAGACCGGATCTGCTGCGCAGCTGCTGTGGCTTGAATTTCTCGCCGCGGGAGGGAAGGACAGAAAAAAAAAGTCATCGCCTTGTACCATCAACCCGCCTTTAGCTGCCAATTGCCTCAACCACGAATCTTGAGCACGGTCTACTTAATCCAGATGCTGTTGGACTCTTTTGCGATTCCTTTGACACTCTTTTGATACTCTTCAGACCACTACAGGAGCCATGCAGCTCCGTACGGGAGCAGCGGTGCTGCGCAGCACTTCGATAACGTCACGATCTATCCTCTCCTCCTCTTCCTCCCGATGTTCGCAATGCCGACGAATCACTCCCCTCGATGCGCGGATACCTCTTACCACTGCCCTCTACCACTCATCCTCGAGACGGTCTTCAGCATGGGGCGCCGCTGTGTCTGTTGCGTCCAACATGGCTGCGAATGCCGTCAACCGCGTGATCCCCAAGGGTGACATGCACATCGACCCTCTGCGGACAGTGGCCAAGGAGATGAAGTTCTTGACGGGCAACATCCGGAAGCTCCTTGGTTCTGGCCACCCGTCTCTGGATCGCGCCGCCAAATACTACACACAGGCAGAGGGCAAGCACATGCGTCCTCTCATCGTTTTGCTCATGTCGAGAGCCACCGCTCTATGCCCCAAGGGTCCCCGGCTCCAATCTGGTCAAGCCATTGGTAGCGTTGATACGGCGATATCTCCCCCGAACATCCTCGTCGACGTCAATCCGAGCTCGCCCTTGACAAGCGCCGCCCCCGAACCTGTCGAGACCGAATCTGACATCCTCCCGTCCCAACGCCGTCTGGCCGAGATCACCGAGCTAATCCACACGGCATCCTTGCTCCACGACGATGTCATTGACCACTCCGTCGCGCGACGCGGATCCCCTTCGGCGAACCTCGAGTTCGGCAACAAGATGGCTGTCTTGGCCGGCGACTTCCTGCTAGGCCGCGCATCTGTCGCCCTGGCCCGTCTGAGGAACGCCGAGGTCGTTGAGCTTCTCGCCACGGTCATTGCCAACCTGGTCGAGGGCGAGTTCATGCAGCTCAAGAATACTGAGCGGGATGAGCGTAAGCCAGTGTGGTCGGAAGAGGCGCTCACCTACTACTTGCAAAAGACCTACTTGAAGACGGCTAGCTTGATCTCAAAGTCATGCCGTGCCTCGGCAATTCTCGGCGGGTCAGACGCTGCTTCAGTCGAGGCAGCATACGCCTATGGTAAGAACCTAGGACTCGCATTCCAGCTGGTCGACGACATGCTCGACTACACGCGTAGCGAGAAGGAACTGGGCAAGCCGGCCGGCGCCGACCTTGAGCTTGGTCTCGCGACGGCCCCTCTACTATTTGCATGGAAGACAAATCCGGAATTGGGTGCTTTGGTAGGCAGAAAGTTCGAGCAGGAGGGTGACGTCGCCAGGGTAAGGATGCACGCACGCAGCAAAAGACTTTAGGATTTGGAGAACAATCTGACTAACACGGTTTCAGGCACGCGAGCTGGTTCTCCAGAGCGACGGTATTGAGCAGACGAGGGCACTGGCCCAGGATTATTCCGAGCGGGCCATTGCAGCCATCAGCGATTTCCCCGAGAGTGAGGCCAAGGATGGTCTCATCGAAATGGCCATGAAGGCATTGAAGAGGACAAAATAAGCGTCTGGCGGCGCTGGCCGATCAGAAACCTGTACAAAAAAAAACCAAAAATCCGGAGTGCACGCATTGTGGTAACGTGCGCTCAACACCACTGTACAACAGACCTTTGGGGCTCTTGACAGAGTACATGTAACGATATTATACATCTAGACGGCGCGGCGTGAGGCCAAGGGGGGAATATCATCGGGTTAGAGATGGCACAGGACTTGAGTGCAATACCACAGACAACTTCCCTTTTTTTTCGATTACGCAAACGGGATTCGGCATATGTGCGCAAGGGATGATTTGCTGAAGGGAAAGATGATGATCCTGTGCAGGACAGCCTGCTGAATGGAACGCCAACGACCCTCACCTGATTGGGGAAGATGGGAAACTTTTACTCGATCAGAATTCGGTGAGGTCTAGACAGCAGGGTTCAGAGAAGAGAAACCGGCGAGCTCCGTGGAGAAGCGGTTTCCATTACGTTGCTGGATCGCTTCTAGATGCTCCCTTCTAGACGCAGCGTGGTAGAAGACGGCACTGTGATGAGACGCATGCATGGGTCGGTCAGGGACCTGCAAAGCTTACACGATAATAGTCAAGGCCCGATCCGATGCTCGCTGGACTCTGGCGCAGCCTGCTTGTTCTGAGAAGGCGACAACCTAGCGATTCGTCTAGACTACCGTCCGAAGAACGAGATTCAAAAATCACAAACACGTCAAGCGCGGTTCAAACAAACCATGTGTAGCTGCAATAGCCGCTGGACGTTCCGGAAACGAAGCATGGCTGTAGGGATGGTTTCCCGGAGGTTGGTAAACGGATGAATGGTGTGATCGGAAGAAAGGGAGCCGGCTGTCGGAGCCGGGATCGCTCATCCCAACAAATGAGACATTCCTCGGTTGGAGATGACTCGGTCATCCAAGAACTCCACGGGGGGCGGCGGCTGTGTCAAGACGGCGCCGGGTGTGTGGATCTCTTTTTCTTCCTTCTTTATTCGTTGCCCATTATCGGTAGTCGGTATGAGTGACACAAAGCGGGCTTTTGTTACTGCCTTTATCGCGATGTCATCGAGTAATACCAAATTGCTGGCCAATGACAGATGAAGAAGATGGGTTGTCACCAAATTCAAATTGGTAGTGTTACGCGCCATGGCCGGAAAATGTCTTCACGAGAGAGGGAAAAAAATCAAGAAACTAGAGTTCCCGGGACTCGCGAGGCGCATAACATTGGCGGGCCAGATGCCCCAAATGAGCGGTGTTTTACTCGATCATTACTCGATCGAAACTCACAAGTGAAGCTTAGACGACGCCTCGGGTGCAGCAGCGGCAGTGGAGCCCGAAGTACCTTAAGAAGCACACCGACGCAGGACCAAGGCAGGGGGGTTCAAGGCTCTGGGCCTGTCAGAAGGGCAAGCCTGAGCCATGAGAAACCAAAAACAAAAAGAATAAGCCTTCGATTTTCCCGAGAATGGCCGATGAAGAGTCAAGAACGGTGATGGGCTTTGTTTGTACTTTTTTATGGTGGACTGTCAGTGTCAAAGACTTACGGAGCAGAGGCATTTAAAGCAACACATGCTTTTCCTCATTCGCTCAATCCGTGATGACTAAGGCGTTCTAGATCGGGAAACGGCTGTGTCCGACGACACGCCCAACCAATCAGCTGCGGCTGATAACGACAAGGGAAGACTTTCGAGTCCTTTCAGGGTTCCCCGGGGTCGCGTTGAGATTGTTCGATAGGGTCCCTTCAGCAAAGTGGCCCAGTGGGAAAAGGGTTTCGATAACGCACCCCACACGACGGACACGAACCCCAGTTGCAGAAAGCAGAGGTCGGCGGCTCGGGGTTCAGTGGTCGCTATTGGAGCGCGGGTTGAGCCTTGAGGTGAGCGGGCTTTGAGTCGAGTTGAAGAAGGTCGATGACGGGGTAGAGAAGACACCCCGGCACCGGGGCCCGAAGGAGAAGGAGATGGCGGTGGGAGAGGGCTAAGCTACCTTACTATGTACCTTACTCTGAAGACTGAGTGACGAGGGTCTTTTCCTCGTTGGGATTGGCCCAGTGGCTGGTCCCTTGAACTCCCGTGTTCCCCCTTTGTCACATATTCTTCCTGTCACCTCAGAGAACGTTATCTTATCGGAGAGAAGAACTGGAAATGGAAGCCCAGATGAACGAATGGAAGGGGACCCGTCCTAATCACGTCTGGACTTTCGGGGTGGGCCGTGGATCGAGCCACGAACGGCTTTCCTCTGAGTGAGATTCGGACGGGGGAAGCTGCTCTTCTTCTTTCTCCCCTTCCTCTTTTCTCTCTTATTTTCTCTAGTCAACTTCTCCTTCAATTATCACCACATTGTCTTTCTTGGAACTCATAGTAATTCACACTACTACACATGACCACTCACTATTTGCTTGAGTGTTTATCTAGGTAGTCCTCACTAAGACCGCCCCAACATCTTACACACCTTTAAACCCTTGAAAGCCACACCGGCCATATCTTATCTCTCTCATCACCCCGCCACCCCGCGATCAAGATAAGCTTCGCTCTTCTCCAGACGCAACAGCAAGCTATCCAAGAACGTCCACCGCGGGGAGAGCTCTTCAGATACCGCGGTATTTCCCTTATCGGACCTCCCCAAGCTTCCAAGATAAGCTTATCACAAACAACCCCTCCATCTCTCTTCATCATGACGGCCTCTCAAGACACCAGCTCACCCCTCGTGGTCCTTGTCTCGACGCGGGCAGTCCTCACCTTTGAACAAGACAACCTCGTCCTCACGCCGGCAACGATAACAGTCTCGCCCGCCACCGGAAAGATCGTCAACATCGTCCCGGCAGTCCTGCCAAAGACCTCCTTCCCAGCCTCCACTGAGTACATCGACTACGGCTCAAAGCTCCTGTTGCCCGGTCTCGTAGATGCCCATGTTCACCTCAACGAGCCCGGCCGCACGGAATGGGAGGGTTTCTGGACGGGTACGCGGGCCGCTGCCTCTGGCGGTGTGACGACCGTCGTCGATATGCCTCTCAACGCTATCCCACCCACCACGACGGTGGCTGGCTTCAAGGAGAAGCTTGCTGCGAGTAAAGGACAGTGCTGGGTCGACGTTGGTTTCTATGGCGGCGTGATTCCCGGAAACGCTGATGATCTGCTGCCCCTTGTTGAGGCCGGTGTCAGAGGCTTCAAGGGGTTTCTGATCGAGTCTGGAGTGAGTAGTACTCCGCGCCGTCCCTGTGACCAAATGTAAGCTGACAATGTGGCCCCCAACTAGGTTGATGAATTCCCAGCAGTCTCATCGCAAGACGTGGCCCTCGCCATGGAGAAGCTCAACGGCACACCCACGACGCTCATGTTCCACGCCGAGATGATTCCTCCCATCTCCGACTCGGTCGGCGACGCGGTCCAACAGTCTGAGCCGCCGCTGGCTCCCACCGGCGAGCTCAACTCATACAAGACCTTCCTCGAGTCCCGCCCGCCTTCGTTCGAGACGTACGCTATCGAGGAGATCCTGTCCCTGGCCCACCTCGCGCCGGACCTTCACCTCCACATCGTCCATCTGTCAGCCACACAGGCCATCCCACTGCTCAAGGAAGCCAGAGCAAAGGGCATCAACATCACGGCCGAGACATGCTTCCACTACCTCGGCTTCGCATCGGAGGACATTGCCGACGGCGACACCCGCCACAAGTGCTGCCCTCCTATCCGTGAGCGATCCAACCGCGACGGCCTCTGGGAGGAACTCGTGGCAGAGGACTCGTGCATCAAGACCATCGTCTCGGACCACTCGCCGTGCACGCCGCAGCTGAAGCTCCTCCCGAGCCATCTCGAGACTCGCACCCCGCCCGAAAGCCACTCCCCTAACATGCACCACTCGGATTCCGGTATCGACATGACGATTCCTGGCGAGAGCATGGACAAGATCCTCGCGGAGAAGACGCTAGAGGACGCGGCGGTCGCCGTGGCGGACGCGAGCTCGCGGGGCGACTTCTTCGCTGCGTGGGGCGGTATTTCATCTGTGGGCCTGGGTCTGCCCATCGTCTACTCCGAGGCAGTGGCGCGCATCGCCGCCGAGGGCGAGGGTGCGGCGCCGTCTATTATTGATATTGTGCGGTTGTGCAGTCAGTCGACGGCGAAGCAAGTTGGTCTTGCGCACCGCAAGGGCGCGCTCAAGGTTGGTATGGACGCTGATATCTGCGTGTTCGACGACGCGGACGCGTGGACTCTACGGTCTGGTGATATGCGGTGGAAGAACCGCTGCTCGCCGTGGGAGGGTCATGAGTTTGCTGGCCGGGTGAAGGAGACGTGGGTTAGAGGCCGCAAGGTGTTTGAGTTTGGAGGAAAGAATCTTGGATTTGTTGGTGAGAGCCCGGTTGGTGAGGCTATTACGGAGAAGCGCACGGCGTAGTTGAGCTGGGCGCTGGATGAGGAGAGAGGATAATATGAAGAGATGGATGAGAAAGTAAAAGAGAGAAAGATAGATCGTGACGAGAGCATTAGCCGTGTGATGATTTAATGAGGTCTGATTTAGGACAAATTGATAATGGAAAACAAAACCACTTCATGAACGTCAGCTTGTCATCACTACTCGTGATATGGAACGGAACGAAATTCGAAATTTTGAACTGGTTCTCAACTGCGAGGGCTGGGATGAGTGTCATGTGCGTGTAGTGAGACATGACCCCAATCCCAGTTGTTAATTGGACAGGTCTGGTAACATTGAGCAATAGCGACTTGAATGATAAAATGAGCAACTTCTGAAGTGATTTCGCTGCACAAGGTAGACATAAGGTGGGTAGCTTGCAAATGAAGCAATGCCATGTGTACATCGTTGTGCTTCTTCAGTTTGCATGCTGTGTTACACTCCAGTCTTTGTTTTCGGAGACAATGGAATGGAAGCTGAGAGAGCCGCGGGGTTGATGCTCCTCTAATGCGCCAAACTTTTGATTGGTGATGATGTAACTTGAGTACCTACTTAGGTCCCTACCTGTGCCGGCCCTGAAGGTACGAGGGTACCAAAGGCGGGAGAAACGGGAGCGGCCCAAGCTCCTGGTCAGTGGACCGTGTTCCTTCCTTCCTTCATCGCCATCCTACCGCAATTGTGGGTCCCACCTTCCACTCGCGTTTTTTTTTACTTCGTCAACGGCACCTCGTACGCGACCTTATCTTGGCTGCGGAAGGCACCAACCTGGAAGGAGCAAGCACCTTCTCATAGAGGGAAGCTCCTCAGCGCACTTTCCTTGCGACGACCCTTCTCGGCCCCTTCCGCCAGCCGTCCCTTCCCAATTGTTCTGCGTCCCCGCGCCGCCGGTCGCCCTGGTGGAAATTTCACCATGTTCAACTCCATCTCGAGAATCTTCAACCGATACACGCCCACCAAGAACTCTTCGCCTGGACCTACCAGACCAACCCGCGACGACAGCGAAGATCGCATATTCCCTTCAACTGCGCCGGCCGAGTACCCAGACGGAATTGACGATAGACTGTTGGGCAGAATGGCGGACGAGGACGAGACTGGTCTCGACGCATTTAACGACTACGTCGACCCGTTTTCTTCCATGGTCCCTTTCTCGACCCAAGCGAACGATGGAGGAGGTGCTGCGGATGCCGCGTATCCCTCCGATGAGGACCATAGCGTGAAGAAACGAAAGTCCAAAAAGTCCAAGAAGGACAAGAAGGACAAGAAGGATCGCAGCAAGAAGGGAAAGAGCAAGGCGACAGACCCAGAACACTCGGATGCAGGCCCCTCATCTTCCATCTTCAGTGGCCAAATTGGACCTTCCAGCGACGCAATTGTGGCTGATGACGGTTTCACTTCTTCGCCTCAGCTGAAGAAAAAGCGCAAGCGCGAACCGGATGACCCCAGTGCGCTGGGCGCGTCGCACTCGTCGGATCGGAAAAAGAGGAAGAAGAAGAAGACGCGTCGTTCTCTCGAAGATGTCGACATGGAGGACGCCGAGCCCGAGGATGTTGTGCCTGAGTCGCCCGAGGACACCAGCATCGCCCAACCTATCGTTCACAGCCCCGCCTCCGAGGCCGATCCCCTCGAGATCAAATACGAGTCACAGCAGTCGCAACTCCTCGGTGTCCCCAGACCTTTCTTTACTCAACCTTCTGGTACACCTGTGTTGCCAAGTCCAGATGACAACGAGTCCGATGATGGCCAGAACGGACCGGCGTCTTCACCCAGTGTTGCAGCGCAGAGGCGCAGGAGCATGTCACGGGGATCTCAGATCTCCCTCCTGAGACAGAGCCTTGCCAAAGAGGTCGCTGCTCAACCGCACGATACGGCAAAGGCCGTGGAGTCTGCGGACGACGCAATGGACGAGGACGTGGCAACCGCCTCGGAGGAGGAGGATTCGGCGGAGGCCGCCCGACGAACCTCGCCAATCGTCGAACCACCTGAAGATGACACATTCGATCGGGACAGTGTTGATAGTGACCAAGACGTGGATATGGACGTAACTGCGAACCAGCCCTCTTCGCCGGGACCTCTCGTCGAGGATGGCGAGGACGCACAGTCTAGTCACGGCTCCTTGGCCGATGGTCTTCCCCCGTCATCACAAGCCCCGAGAGAAAGCCCGTCAAGTACACGCAGCGAAAACATGGAGGAAGAGGAGGAGGTCGTCCCAACCCCTCAGCTACCAATCAAAACTTTCCGCGATGCACTCCGAGGCTCAGCTGAGAAGCTCACTACTTATTCCAAGAAGGATGCAGCTGTTGAGAGGCCCGCCACGACGCCGCGAGCTACTCGACGTCGAAATGCCCAGCCAGACGAAGAACAGCCCTTTGATGTTGGCAACTTGCCTAGTTCGGCTCAGAAGTCTACCCGCTCCACGGCATCCAAGAAGCAGCGCTCTAAACCGGACTTCTTCGAAAAGTCAACATCAGTCCAAGAGACACCAGAGTATCTCGAGGTGGCAGGGGGTGCGGCTCGTGAGATCCAAGAGGACGGCGAGGATCAGGAGCCCGAAACTGAAGAGGCCCCAGTCAAGAAGCCAGCATCGACCAAGACCGCAAAGCCTCAGATGAAGCTCAAGAAACCCAAACAGACAGCCGCCTCTCGCGCTCCCGCAACCGCCACTCCCAAGCCCGCAAAGGCGAAAACGCCAAAGAAGGCTGCACAGCCCAAGGGAGCACCTCAGGGACCACCCGAGTTCATCACCGGCCAATTTTCCCATGAAGAGATGCGCAAGCTCAGAGAAGTCGTCGAGAAATATCGAGAAGAGAACGACCTGTCACAAGAGGAGATGAACAATCTTATCCAGATGAAGCAGCGTAGTAAGCTGTCCAAAACGGCTATCCCATATGACAGCGATAAATTTCTTCACCTATGGAATTACATTTCTGCCGCTCTTCCTAATCGGCGCCGCCAGAAAACTATCGATGTTGCTCGCCAGAATTTCCACAACTTTAAGGCTCGTGGAGGAGGATGGACTGCCAAAGAAGATGTTAAGCTGGCGATGCTGTACGCTAAACATGGTAATTGCTGGATCAAAATTGCGGAAGAGCTGGGTCGCCACGAGAAGGATGTTCGCGACCGCTACCGGAACTATGTCATTTGTGGCCGCACGGAAGGCCGCAACTATTGGACCGAGGAGGAAGAAAAGGAATTGGTTCAGCACGTCATCACCCTACTCAGACGGACGGATCGGTCACCTTCGAAAATCCAACAGCCTTACGAACCCATGATCAACTGGCAGACGGTTAGTGAGCTGATGGGCCGCAAGCGCACTCGCCTGCAGTGCATGAGAAAGTTCAAGACCCTCAACGTGGAACTTACCCCCAGCGAAGTTCTGAGGTCTTCACGTCCCGCGTCAAAGGTCACATGGACTTTGGAGAAGGCCCGCAAGCAGATACAAGAAATGCCGCCCGAAGACAAACACAAAATGGTCCGGGCTATTCTGGCAGGAGGCGCCGGCCGCGATCGATTGATTCAGTGGACCAAGCTCGCCGACTTGGAGTTCCGCAGGAAATGGCCTAAGAAGACTCTCCATTTGCTATGGTATCGTCTGAGACAGCGTGTTCCAGATCAAAAGGAAAAGTCAGTTAGAGACTGCGCCCGTTGGTTGTTGGAGGATGCCAAGGCGAGCGCCCCCCGGGGTGCCAAAATTCTCGGCGGAGGAGATACCAACTATGATACTGATACCGAGATGGCTGTTGTTGATCCTCCCAATAAAACCAGTCGTCGAAAGAGCCTGAAAAATGAGCCACGCAGCGCTGAACTTGTGGTTGACAGCGACGACGCTTCCGACGACGAGGACAACAACAAAGACGATGACGACGACGTCTCTGAAGCCGATGAGGAAGATGAGACCAGGCTGACAGAAGGCGATTCTCCGTCTACACGGCAGTCATCAGCCCAATCGAATCGACTCCTAACTGATTCTATATCGAATGCTCTCTCTGCGTCTCCGTCTCTCCAACCTGCTGGTATTTCCAGACTTCTCCCCGTCGAAGCGGAAGACGCCAGACCCAGCCCTGCTAAGAAACGTGTGAGGCTTTCCGGAGGTACTTCATCCAGACAACGGTCTATGGAGAATGATGGCAGTTCACCAGAGCCAGTCGCCTCACAATATGCGGCCGAGAAGATTCCCGACCGCCTCAAAGAGAAGAGAGAAAAGGCCAAGAGACGCATCTCTTCCGGGATCAGACTTCGAACAGTGGCATCACTGCAACCGGAGTCGGTGCAAAACAGCGATGTTGACGAAGACATGCCACCGATTCGCGTCCCGCCTTCCACAGCACCCGCCTCTGTCAAGAGCAGAAAAGCGGACAGGCGGGTGGGCGACTGGGCCAGAAAGACTGGAGGACCCGAGCCGCCAGGCCTGCCGGCACCAGTCAGCGACGAAAACGACGAAGACATGTCGCCGGCCCCCGCCCCGCCCTCGACTGCTCCCTCGGGGTCTAAGGGTCGGAAGAGAGCAAACAAACTAAGGGACTGAACCACCTAGTGGACAGCTTGGGTTGCGATTTCACGCTGTGATGGATGTGGAACTAGATTGTTGTACAAGTTTCACATCTTCTCAAGTCACTCGAGTAGTGTGGTAGTGTGCATGATGATACCCCGCGAGGCTGAGGTACCATGTTGACTCGAGAGTCGTTATTGATGGATAAGGTTTGGTGGCCAGGGTGCCGCAGAGAATACTATCAGAGCGGTCAGCGTTCTGGGTCAAAAGCAATGGCAGGCCACAGCATGGGCAAAGCAGGTTCAGGCCAGGTCAGACAGCATTTGTTACGAGGGTTGTTTTTCGGAGTGGATATCGATTGTTCAAGGATGGGAATTGTACATAGCTTAGTAGCTGCGAACACCATCATTATCGAATGGTTCAAAACAAGTTGTGTTGAAGCTGCTTCTATTTTTCCCTCAGTTGTCAAATTCCCACGTTCCATTGTACTTTGCAGAATCGTCAGTTGAGTTGTTTGTCGTGAGGAATTTACGTCATTCATTGGTCATGACTCGTTGGTGGCCAGTCGAACCACCCAAACGATAACGAGGTTGGAATTTTTCGTTCAGTGATTTTTTTTTCCCTGGGCCTGGGGGAAATGTCGTCATAGGACGACTACTTACTCATGAATCAGCTACCGCAGCTATCTCGCAATTGAGAATCTGTCTCGCGCCTAGTCGATGGGCAGCCATCAGCAGGAATCCAGCTCTATCTCCGACCGTTACGGATCTATCTGCCCACTTTTGCAACACCCGTGCCGCTGTCGCCGCCACCGTAGGGCTGTGACGTTCCGTGGCGAGAGACGATGTGTGTGCGTGCTCTATCCACCTTGTTACCGTGACAGCGTCAGGCTTTCTCCCCGGTTGGGAAGCACAGTCGATAAGGTAAACCCGCGGGATGAAGTGGTGGGATGGATAATCGGCTCTCGCCCGAGAACGGGGGAACCCAGCTGGATGGGAAAGGAACTTGTTCCCCATGTACGGAGTACGTGCGTGTCAACTGGGGAATGACTGACTGATGCGTGCTTTTGCAGCGCTGTACACGTGTACTGGAGAACCCGACGAAGCTGTGATGACAAAGTCGTGTACTTGGCCAAATGGCGAGTCCCGGGGCAGTGGGACAACATGAAGAGTGTGGCAACCACGCACCCCGAGCCCAAGACGCAACGTCATCCGGGGGGAGGCGACGCATAGAATTTCTAGAATGATTCAACGTGTGTGAATCTTCCGACATCTGGGGAAAGAAGAATGGGGAGGGGTCAAAAGACAGCACTGCATGCGTTTTCTGTACCACGGCCATTCCGTGCGGGGTCTTCCCTTTTTTTTTTGTTTTTTTTTTCTTCTTCATCGCGCGTTGTCGGATGTCATTGTCACGATGGCTTCACAAACGCCGCACTCCGGAGCAAGTTCCGCGCGACGCGCGCGTGCGGAATTTTCTCTCTACAAAAAAAAAAAAAAAAAAAAAGTTGTGGCGTCATTGTTCCGTCGCGGAGCAAATCGGCGCGCGACGGGTGTCTGGAAACGGTGCTTGTCGGATCGGTGTCGAATTTTGGCCGAGTCAGTACGACTTAAGCACCTTGACCTGGAAGTAGGTAGATCAGCAAACGCCGAGAGATCGGGGACACATCTGGAGGCGATCATCCCGGGCGTTTCGGGGAGGCAGACGTATGGAGGCTCCAGTTGTTACGCATAGCATTTGCAATTGTTGATGGGAAGGCACTGGTATGAGTATCGGCGTCGGCGATAGCAGCATCAAGCATCGCAAATGTCAATGAACGCCCAAATCCGCGGACCTACGCGCGAAGAGCCTCGTTCGCAATAGGTAGACGGGAATCTAGAATGAGTGGAGGGTACGAAATACTTGAGGCTGAGAGCGGAAAGCACGAAACGGGAAAGACGAGCTTCAACCCTCACCGTCACCTTCAGCTACTGTGTAAGAACCTGCAAAAGTTGAACGTCGAGCTCACGGAAAACATCCGATCAGACCACCGGATGAAAAGCGGGGTCTCTCAGGGACCGACCGCAGCGGCGTGGCCGCACTTCGGGCCCTTATGGTGGTTTTACGGATAGTTGATGGGGCGGAGGGGTCCGCCGCGATGAAAGACACTCACAGTCTCACACGGTACACCCCTCTCCCCCCTGGGCGGATCCGCATTCAAGGCGTACGGCCGAGGTGAGGCGAGAATTTGCGCGCGCAATGGGCCACCTTTTTTTCAGAAAAGATCCGAGTGAGTGCCTTGAGATCCAATTTGAGCCACACTTGGCAGTCTTGCCGGACTGTTTATCATCTAATACGTGGTAACGTGGTGAAGTTTGAGCCCGAAGGCAGTTGTGTGAGCCACAGTCCTTTGGGCGAGGTGGCTTGACCTAACCACGGTACGTTGAGCCTCGAGATGCTTCACGATACATCAGTTCATTGTGAGCTTCACCTCTAGCCATAACTCATCTGCTTCCTTGATGTTGACCACGTCTCGCTCAAATTTCTGTAGATCCCCTCTTTCACACCTCCATAGCTCCTCATGCCCACTTCTCATTCAATCGTGAAGCAAATTTCCTTGGTCTCGTGTCGTTGCGAGTTCCTCACTTGTCGGCCCTTTTCCTTTCGCGCGCAAAGGAGACGAGAAGACTCTTACCACAATACTCCATCATACTCCCCCTTTTCCCTCACTCTGGGCCTCTGGGACTGGGAGTTTCCACATATCATCAACGCCCAGTGGCCGGCAGCACATTTCGTCGCTGTTTCGCATAGCTTCGTTACTCGTAGCTGGCTCAGGATGGGGCTCAATACTCGGCGTGCTCTCGCGGTAATCGTGGAGTCGTGGCCGAGTCTCGGCGCTTTTCTGGTTCTCTCATGTCTCTCGTTAGAAGGCAGACTCCACGACTCCCCATCGTGGACCAGACCAAGGGGTATGCCGGCCGGTGAAGTGGGTTGTGTAATGATCTGGCTCAAGGGACGAGACTCGTCGAGCCGTGAGCCGCATCCATAGCCCTCAATAGCTCCAGTAGCTCTCATGTTTCTCTCGTCTTTCATTCGAGGCGTCGCGAGTATATCTCGCTACAACTCTCCCCTCTCATACTCCGAGACTCTGCCTTTCGTTAAACGTTGACCAACAGTGGCGCCAACGGTATGCATACCTAGTAGACGCTCAGCGGTTATCAGGGACCGGGCGCGCTAAGAGTAACGGGAGCAAGCCACAGACTCACAGCGAAAGGCAGATACGGATACAAGGTGTCCAGGCGTATCTGCGAGCTAAGGCAGCCTAGTAGGGGCGTGTCGCGGCGGCATCTGCTTGCCGGGCCGAAGAGGACCAGCAGGGTTCAGGGGGTGGGGGTCCCGTCAGCGGACAGGGAAGGAGATAACATTTTTTTTTCTTTGCAGTCGAGCAGTAAATGCCAGATGGAAAACAAGAAGAAGAATGTGAACTGTGAAGAGAAAGGGCAAGGTGGATGGGGCAGGGGTGCAGGGGTCACTCTCTAATCGGACCTTGCGTGGGCCAAGATGCCATGCGATGCCATGCGGCTGCGTTGTGGACTTGTGTTTTTTCGTTTTTTTTTCGCAGTCGTTGCAGCCTTTGCAGCCCTTTGTGGTGAAGGTTGTTATTCTCGTGATCTGATATGACCGTGGTGCATATGTCGGTCCGGGGAATGGGGTCTTGACCGGACGATGTGATGCGTAGCTCGGGGTGTTTTCTTGATTTCATGATACGATGGTATGGTCAAAGTGTGCATGTCGTGGTAAACCCAGGTCTGCGATGAGTTGATACCTATTCGGAGTATGTGCGGTGCAACTATTCAAGAAAACGACAAAATCCATGATATTCCCAGAATCCCAGTGACAGGCCATGGCATGCCAGATGGCAGATGCCGCCCGTGCGGTGGAGATCTTCCTTACCGCAAAGTACGTACCCGGGAAAGTGAGATGCGGCGACGGCACGGTACTTGGGCCCCAACTGTGGATGCCCTCTTATTTTTTTTTTCTCTTCAAGTGGTTCTCTGCTTGTTTCTCTTTCTCTTCGTTACTTTGCATGTCCCTGTTTCCCGCGTCGGTTTCTTTCCGCATCTACGTATACGTGGACGAACAAGTACATCGTCTGATGTTATGATGTGAGAGTGTTGTGGTTCCAGGGCTCCAGCGATCTTTTCTCGAAGAAACGGAATGGTTCAATCAGAGGGCAGGGAACCTGACTCTCTCTCCCGTATTTGTGTATGACAAACCTGCACGTTAAGCTTTGAGTTTGTCAGTCCATCAGTCAGCCGTGCAGCATATCCTGTTCGCGATGCTAGCAATGCTACTGTGCACCTAGGTAGAGCGTAGGCCAAGCAAGGCCAGCCGCCAAGCCGTCGTCACTGTCATTCAATCAACCAGACTCCCGTCCCTCCATGGCATCCTAGATGAGATGATCAAGGTTAGGTGCCCTTTCACAATTCCGTGGTGCGGTGGCACAGTGGTATGGTGGCAGCATACGCGACGGGACCTGCATCGGTGCATCCTGACCCTGACGTCAATCGGAGGCTTCGGGATCTCCACCAGCAACGAATGAAGTCCTGGACCACAACGACAGCGGGCGGATCATCTCGTGCTATTCCGCACTAGACAGATTCCAGCAGCACGCCAAGGATAAAGGGTCCGATTAGTGTAATTGTGGCCCGTCCAATCTGGGCCTTGACTGCTGGGCTTAACGGATTTGTCGCCCTGCCCTTACGGATACCTGCAAGCACGAACACAGATCCTGGACAGGGAAGCCAGATCCATTCGGCGAGTTCCAGCTATCACGTCGAATAATTGTGGTGACCCTGCCGCATACGCCGTCGTCTCGGCCTCTTTTTCGAAAGTCTGGTCTGCGGTCCCTGTCACCTTGCCTTTGGCTTGAACCACCACCACCACTCTCTGTAGTGCTCAGTGCTCGCTCACACCGGGGAGCCTCATGTTTAGACCGACTCCTCTTAGTGGCCGAGCATTGGACCGAATAATTGCAATAAGACTCGACGTCAATCATCAGCTCACGGGACACACCCCTTCCCTTGCCTACCGTACCCAGCACACCGTGCACACCAGATCCAGTTCCTTGACGGTGTCGGGTGCTGAACGGTGCCACGGTGGTTGCTTGAACCTCAGCTGCGTCGGCCGGAGGTACTCGGCGCAATGTACCACCAACGTCACTCGTGAGGCTCGCGACACGGGCGAGAGCTATGGCCATCCGGTCCATCAGCGGCGGTCCCACCGTCCCAAGCGGTTTCTCCTAGGAAAGGCCCTCTCACTACGACCACAACCGTCAATTTTCAAAGTCACCCTGGTCCGACATGTCACCACGGTCACGGTATTCTCTTTCGCGACTCTCCGCCCGCGAGACGACTGGGCCAGAACCACCACGTCTTTCTTCACCCGGTTTTCACCCGCCATTATCCCACAGTCCAGCCCACACACGTACGTTGCTGCCCGCACTTTTCTTGGTTCGCCCACGGGCCCCCGACTTGTCCGTTTGATGCATGTTGCTGTGGACTGTGGGAGTGTGTGGGAGTGTGGGTTAGCCAGTACCAGCAATGTGGGTATCGTTTTCTTCCTTTCCTTTCGGTTTTTCGATTTTTCGTTGTTTAGCAAGCAAACCAAGATGCCCACGCCCACCCCGACTGCCCTGCTTGGTCAGAGACGTGATCATGAGGCATGAAAAGCACCTTTCCATCAGTCAAAGTGTGGAAACGTATGCGGAGGCATACGGGGATATACGGGGAGTGAAATGGGTTCCCAATGGGTGAGAACGGGGTGAGCATCTGCTCATTCCTTCCTTGCTTGCTTCCTTCCCTTCTTCGCGCCTTCCGTTGTTCTTTCCGCCATGCCATGCCATGCCGTGCAAGGATAGGTACCTCTCCTTCCGTGCTTCCTTCCATACCTTGGCCAAGTACCGGAATAAGGTAACCACTTATGGTACATACCTTACCTTAGTAAGTACTAGGTAAAGTAAGTAACTTGGGTAGGAAGCAAAGTGAGGAAGGTACGAAGCGGAAAGTAGGTACGTCCCAACCCGGAGCCGTGGTCGCGAGACCCAGTCCCCGGGCACTCCCCAGTCCCGCCGTACCTTCCCAGTCAACCCAGACTACCTACACTACTCCGTACCTTATGGAACTGTGGGAAGGACCTGCTCGTCTCCTGACCTCTTTCCCCTAATACAAAAAGAATCCTTTCCTTCCCCCATCGTCTACTCTTGGCCCCCTTTCCTCCTTCCCATCCCACACTTCTCCAGACTAATCAGAGTTTTATCTCAACTACCTTGTCCCTCTCCACACCTCGACAGCTCAAGGCAGGTATAATACCTTCCTTCCTCCCTCCTCCTCCTTCTTGAAGCAAACACTCAACAACACCAACACCAACAAGAACCTCGTTCTCACCCAGAGACATCATCACCCTCGGAACCAACAGACTTATCCCTCCCGCCTCTACATCCTCCCCTGGATCGAGAACACCAAACCCACCCCCACATTATCCATCCCCATATCGACGCATTTCGTCAGCATCGCCCATCATGCAGTTCCCCAAGCTCGGTGGCAAGGGCGTAGAGCATAAGGACCGGACGGAAGCCGACGCTCCCACCTCGGATTCTAGCTCCGATATCACGGCTGAGCAGAAGATTACCTTCGCCGCCGCTTTCCTCGGTCTCGTTGCCAGTATCGGTGGTTTCATGTTCGGTTATGTCAGGTATGTCTTACTCCCCCGGAGAAGGGGGGGGGGGGGAGGCACATCTCCGCCCCGCCCTCCTCCATCTGAGACCTACATGTCTCGCCGGCCATTCCGTTTGCTGACCCTTTGTTCCTCACAGTGGTCAGATTTCCGGTTTCTTCCTGATGGAAGACTTCATGCAGCGCTTCGGTGAGCCCCAGAATGGCACCTACGTCTTCAGCGCCGCTCGCCAGGGTACCATCGTCGGTCTCTTGTGTATCGGCTGTCTCGTCGGTGCTCTCACTGCCGGCAAGCTCGCTGACACTCTCGGCCGTCGTCTGACCATCTCGCTCTTTGCCTTCTTCTCCTGCATTGGTATTGTCATCGAGATCTCCTCCACCACCAAGTGGTACCAGTTCGCCATTGGCCGCCTCGTTAACGGCGTCGGCATCGGTGCCCTCTCCGTCGTCGTTCCCATGTACCAGTCCGAGTCTTGCCCCGCCATCATCCGCGGTGTCATTGTCTCCACCTACCAGCTCTTCATCACTCTCGGCATCTGGCTCGCCGAGATTGTCAACTTCGCGACCCACAACAAGGCCGGCTCTGCCTCCTGGCGCATCCCCAACGGTCTCGGCTTCGCCTGGGCCCTCATTCTCGGCGCCGGTATCCTCCTCCTTCCCGAGTCCCCCCGTTACGCCTTCCGTCAAGGTCGCGAGGACGAGGCTCGCCGCAACATTGCCAAGCTTGCCGGAGTCGAGCCCAATGCCGCCTCTGTCAACCTTCAGATCGATGAGATCCGCGCCAAGGTCGCTGAGGAGTCTGCTGGCGCCGACACCAGCATCTGGGAGATCTTCACCGGCCCCCGCATGTTCTACCGTACCATTCTCGGAATTGTGCTTCAGGCCGGTCAGCAGCTCACCGGCGCCAACTTCTTCTTCTACTTCGGAACCACCGTCTTCTCCGCCACCGGTCTCAGCGACAGCTACGTCACTCAGCTCATTCTCGGATCCGTCAACGTCGCTTGCACCTTTGGTGGTCTGGTTGTCGTCAAGAAGTCTGGCCGCCGTATTGCTCTCATCGTCGGTGCTCTGTGGATGATGATGTGCTTCTTCGTCTATGCCTTTGTCGGTCACTTCGCTCTTGACACCGTCACCCCCTCCAACACCCCCCAGGCCGGCGCCGTTCTCGTTGCCTTCTCTTGCCTGTTCATCGCCGGTTTCGCCACGACCTGGGGTCCCCTCGTCTGGGCTGTCGTCGCCGAGCTGTACCCTGCTCGCTACCGTGCTCCCGCCATGGCTCTTGCCACCGCCTCCAACTGGCTCTGGAACTTGTATGTACCCCCGACTTTCAACTGCAAAAGCCATTCAACTAACTCCTTCTCAGCCTCATGTCCTTCTTCACCCGCTACATCACCGATGCCATTGACTATCTCTACGGTCTCGTCTTCGCTGGCTGCTGTGCTGCCCTGGCTGTCATTGTCTTCCTCTTCGTCATCGAGTCCAAGGACCGCACCCTCGAGGAGATTGACACCATGTACGTCCAGCACGTCAACCCCATCACCTCTGCGAAGTGGCGTGGCGAGGTGCACAAGCACCACCACGAGTCCGCCAGCGAGGAGGAGAAGGTCAATGCCACTGCCTAAGCGCATTGATTGCTCTGGTGTCTAAAATGTGTTGTGCATTGGAAACAGCGCAAATATACACATATTGCATTCTGTTCCCCTTGGCTTCCTGGGCCAGAGAGAAAAGACCTGTATCATACAAACTTCATTGCGACGGCGTTGGGTGGCATCTTGTATTCTTAAGAGAATTCGTTCATGAGGAATGAGAATTATTTAATTGATCAACATTCAAAAGACTTTGGTGCATATAAGTGATACATGTCTATATTACGGATCCGACGCAGGAGGATTGATTCGCTTACTCGGTCGAATGGTCATAAGAAGGTTCAGGAATTATAGAGATGTACTGCACTTGTCCTTTTCAAGGTCATTAAATAATATGAAGAAGTTGTTTATGTATTGGAGTTATGTCTCTGTGGCTTGCCCTCTTCTAAGTCTAAGGGACGAGGGCTGGGAGCCAATGTATGTCTGCCTCCTTTCCGTGTTACCGTACCGGCCTTAACCAACGGGTACCAGATAATGTGATACCATTGAAACTAGGCCACAGTTGTGAGAAAGGCTGAGCGCAACGGAGCGCAGCTCCGCGACGCCTAGCAAGTATCTGACAAGCTAGATCTCGTCTTATGTATCAGGTTTAAAAAGGGGTCATTGTGTGCGATGCCAAAGTCCACAGTTGAACTCAATCCCCATCTCTTGATATGGTCCATTCTCAGTTGCCTCACTTGCGCAACTTGGCGACAATGGCGTTATACGCGGGCTTGGGGTTCCAGTTCTCGTCAAAGAGCAGGGGCTTGGCGGTGGCCATCCACGACTGCTTGTCGCTGACGCCCCAGACGGTGACGCCCTTGCACTTGGGCACGTTGAGGCAGGCGCCGACGACGGTGGCGTAGTCGTTGGGGGGCGCGCCGGGGATGTCGAGCTCGGTGATGGCGATCTCGGAGGCGCGGGAGCGGGCGAGGGCTTCGAGGGCGGCTTGGATGTTGCCGGACATGTTTGCTGCCAGGTGGGCTTGGGAGCCTGTGTGGTGTTAGTCATCCTTCATTTTCGTCTTGCTTATTTGGGTACCATCTCCCAATCTCCTCCCCATCTACTCCGTACGAGCGAGCATTTCATCTGCTTCTCCATGGGGCTGAGGGGGTGGAGGTAACAAGAGGTAAACTCACCAATACCGTCAATGGGGATGCCCTGCCCGATCCACTGGTTCACCTTGGTCACCATGGCCGTGACCTTGCCCCAGCCGGCGTTGTCGAGGTTGTAGTCGTTAATGTACAGCTTCGCCGCGGGATCCGCGAGGCGCGCGGCGCGGAAGGCGACGCCGATGTAGGCTTCGCCGAGGACGTTGGAAAAGGCCGTGCTGCGGATCGTGCCGTTGTCGTTGAAGGCTTCGTTCACGACGTCCTGTGCATTGTCAGTTTACGGTGAACTCATACTCATACCAGATGTGTGAGAACGGAGAAGAACCGTTTCGAGGAAGTCAAAAAACATACCCACGACCTGATCTTGCCCTTGTACTTCCCCACAATCGTCTTGACGTGCGTCTCAATCACCTTGGTCATGGTCGCCTTGTCCTTGATGGCAGACACCCACGCCGGCAAAGCCTGATGCCAGAGCAACGTGTGGCCCCTGATGCTCTTCCCGTTCTGCTGCGCAAAGTTGACGAGGAAGTCCGAGTTTGTGAAGTCAAAGTTGCCCCGCGTCGGCTCGGTGGCGTCCCACTTCATCGAGTACTCGGGCGTCACCTGGCCGAAATTCTGCTGGATGACGGCGGCGGTCTTGCCCTGCTGCATGATGCCATTGTCGCCCGAGACGCCAATGTAGAGCTTGCCCTTGGCCTTGAAGAGCTTGTCGATGCTGGTGGGGGATTGGCGGGTGAGGAGGTGGGCGGCGGCGTGGTGGCCTCGGGCGGCGTGAGAGTGGGAGTGAGAGGCCGTGGTGTCGTCGGCGGTGGGGAGGCCGAGGACGGCGAGGGGGGCTAGGAGGAAGGGGAGGGAGAACTTCATTGTGTTCTTCTTCGTTTTTTGGTTATTGTTGCCTTATCCAAACTGGCGCGGTTTTGTGTGTGTGTATTTCTACAATGAGTGTCTATGGGTTAGGTAGTTACGGTCTAGAATGAGTGTCTGGCGAAAGGAATGAATGACTGAATGAATGAGAAGAAGTAAACACTTTGAAAGAGAAAAGCATTCAAGCAAAGCGCCCAAGTGAGTGTGACAAGCTCCGTCATGGTGGACATTTGCCCAACTTATTCAGTTTCCGTCCGGCACGGAGGCTTGCAGTCCGGGCCTCCCGTTTCTCGCTCTCCCCCCTTGGCGAACATTGGCGCATCTCCAATCGCCCGTGCGGTGGTGGGAAATTTCGCATCAAAGAAGTTTGTTTTTTGGAGACTTTTTTCTCTCTTCAATTTGGGGGGGTCGCATTCGCCGCAAGTCAGGTCAGCAAAGCCTAAAGGAGGGAAAACCTGCCGTCGGAGATTCAACGTAAGCTCCGGGGCAGAGAAAACAAACATGTCTGTCTGGGTACGGAGTTATACTGCGTGCTGCGTAATTTGAGCCGCCACTCGATTGTCTCGGGTTGCGCGCGCATTCCAAAGGGGGAAGAACAGAGGCGCGATGCTGCAAACTCCGCCATGAAGACCCCTCCTGTGCCTGGCGTCGACGATTAAGTGGTTTTACTATAATAGCCTTTGCCGTGTTGAAAATAGCCTTTAATTGCCATGGTCGATCCCCAGTTCTTTCGGGTGGTCCAATCATACTAGCCACAGGGAGCTTCCCTGCCTCTCTTCTTCTCTCTTTCGGTTTCTCCAAACCCTCCCACCGGTTGGATAATAGCGAAATGGCCACAGAGCAAGGTAGGTAGCATTTTCACGGAGACTGCGTGCTGGGGTTCAAATTTAGCACAGCACAGGAGACTGAAAAAGGAATTAGTGATGGCTCCGTTCCCGTTCCGGCGACCCGGGTCTGCAAAATACCCGCAAGCAACATTCCATCAGCCTCTTTGCCCGCTTGTTTGGTGCCACAGGATGCAACAACAAAAAAACGAAAACAATGTGAATGGGTGGAATTTGACAATCTCGGGGACTGGGCTATATATACTCTAGCTGCGCAGCAAAAGTGTTCCAGCCGCGTCGACTTTGCGTGGTCCGCCACGTCGTCAGTCCACGCAACGTCGGTGGTAGCTTGAGAGAAGACCTTGGGCTGCGTCGCGGCCACGTGGGGCGGTCAGCTCATTACCTCTTTCTTTTCGTTTTCGCCGTTAGCGACGATAAGACGTTGGCGACATGAAAGACAGCTTGAAAGAGTTCAACGGTTCAATCTGAGTCTTGAAGCTTAGTACCCATACCCGCCCTAAGGCGTTACAGCAGCACGCGGGCAACAATTCATCCGCCGCCATTCTGAGCCAAACCTGCCATTTTGATAGCGAAGAAAGGAGATCAATAGATTCAATAATGTTACTAAATACTTTAGTTCATTCTCTATCACTGTTTTGTATTCTATTGGTAATTCTAGCCTATTCTGTGTTGGTCAAACCCTCGGAAGAAAGAGAGAGGTTGAGAAAAGCGGCGAGTGATTTTGTTAGCCGCGTGAGCAGCCAAGGTCCCCTCAGGGGTTCCGTCAGGGGATCTCCACCTACCGGCCCGGACAGAGCGATCGGAAGGATCCATACCCATAACCTGGACGCCGGGCCCGGATGACATAATTCCCAGCCGAGACCAGTGGACCACTCAAAGGGCCGATCCGACATGGCTTGCCTCATCCTGACCATCAAGCATGGTAAAGTTTGCTCATAGCCCATACAGTGTAGTCTGTTGCGCAACCCTAACACCAAAGCCTGATACACGTTTTTCTCTTATTTCTCTCATCCTTGTTCTCAAATCGATGGCCAGCCCCAAGTTTCCGAGAGAACTCCCCACTGACTGCGTGTAGCCCGCTTTGTCATGGAACTCCGCAACAAGTTGCTCCTCGTAAAGCACCGCGGATGGTTCGACACGTATTCTTCGTATCATGTTGGCTGCGCGAGAATGAAGAGATGTATGCCATCATCAATCCCAAAAGGATATTCTTCCTACAGAGTCTTGCCGTCACGACCTACAGGGTTGTCAGCATCGACAGGTAATCTGTCAGTACCTAATCTTGGATCTACGATTAAGACTTGGATCTATGATTAAGACTCAGCTTGGGTGTCGCAAAGACTCTATTCTTCTGCTTTGGTCGGGTAGAGGCGTGTACAGCGACAGAGGAAGACCAAGGACGTCGAATAACACATTGATGATTTCTGCCCTACGTCAATTCTCACTTCTCATAGTGAGAACTGCACTTGCCATACCATTATACACAATCCCTAATTCCCAGACCATCATCTCTTGTCATAATTGTACAGATACACATCACACAGCTGAGTCTGTGAACATCCCCCTTCCAGATCTTGCTCTCCCCTAATCCTCATACTCCTCGCATACCAGACACTTAGTTCTCGCCATCCTTGCGGTTTCTCTTGAACAAGTTACTCAAGAACTTCCGCTTTGAGCCCGACGTAGCCTTGTCTCTGGTCGACGAGGACGCGGAAGAAGCAGCACTATCCTCACTAAGAAAAGTTCTCATTCCCACGGCGTCGTCGCTGTCCGTCGAACGACTCGAGATCGTATCTCTTCTGCCGTTCTTAAGCTCAGCCATCGACGCCATCTTACCCAAGAATCGGGAAGGAGCGTTGGCCGGTCTTTGAACATAAGCCGATGTAGTCGGCTGATTGATGCGCTGCTGGCGCTGATCGACCAAAGGTGCTGTAGGCTGTTGTCAGCATGAACTTCGATATCAATGCAGTAGATGAACTTACTAGGTCGAGGAGACATCGCCGCCATGGACGCAGCTGGGCGAACTGTGCGGTCTCTCTTGATGGAGAAGTCGGCTCGAGTGACATAAGGGTCGAATGTCGTGTCAAAAGCAGACGGCGAAGTGGTGTCAATCGGCTTCAAGACCGGGATGGGCGGCGGCGGGCGAGCGGGAACGTAAGACTTGGCAGGACCAGGA